TGAATAAGTATTACCTACCTATTACGATAAAGAAGCAAGTAGAATCATAGAACCTTTAGTAGTAAAGCGTGGAAGTCATGCATTGTTAACATTTGAGTGTAACTGGTTTGTTAGGAGTACTTACGAATGGGAAGTTTACACACTGTAATAAAATGTTAAATTCCGTAGCACTTAGCATCCCATTGTTTAATTCGGCATAAAAATCTCGCTTCGGTGAACGTCAGATTGCAATTTGGAAACTTTTCACCGCCCTTAATGGGTCACAAAAGCAAAGTTCACTCGATGTGTGGGCAACAGCCGTAATTTTTGAAACGCGTTAACGTAAACAACGTCACCATTTTTATTTCAGTTTTATTCTTTTCTCGCGTTCTACCTCGTTGACAATAGCAGGTGTGTAGATAGACTAGTTTTCTAAAGACATTAACTTTAAGATGAAATACTGAGAAACGAAGCTGAGATTTAAAAGACGATGTCAAGTACGATTTTACAGAAATGCTTAGAGGTAGGTAAATGATATTAAGTATTCCCTAAAGTAGGTAATACTATTCGTTAAGAGCTTTGTTTATTCGTGTTAATTTTTTAATTATTGTAGCAAATTGAATTAGTTTCTATGATTTTGGATTCGTTCGTTCGTTTTAGCCGAAAGTCTACTGCTGGACAAAGACCTTCGGATTATTATAAGAAAATTAAATAGATTCATTTGCTATAGATAAGATAGAAAGAGTCGTGCTCATGCAGAGAAGACTTAACGACCTGATGAGTTTAATTCAAACTTGCAATGCCCTAAACAAACTGGGAACAAATACTAAAAGCTGTTAGTGAGTTTACACTATGATTGTCCCTTTGGAATCCCTTTAGAAACGCACAATGTCTGCTCTATATAAACCTCATGGTCGAAGATAATTAAGATAGAGCACACCTACCCATTGAATAACTATTTACCGGATTACAAGAAAACAAATATCAGGAAGGAGTTTCACTCCCTGGAAGTCTGCATAGTAAACGTCGAAGCAATTTACTTCAATGCGGTTCATGTGAATTGTGTATATTTTGTTTTCAAACATTGCCTTACCCCAAGTACCATCCAAAGCCGCTTTAGAGTGGTACCTAATGTTTCTTCTCCGGCATCTCAACCTTAATTCTACACAGTAATTGAGTTACGCCTGTAATTACATTATGGCTCCATTTCGGCTCAAACAGTTTAAAAATAAAAGTGGTCTCAACGCTTTGAAGAACAGAAAGCTTTCCACAATATTGTATTAAATTCAATATTCCTGCGTCTGGCGAGGGGCACTCAAGTGTTTAAGTACATTCGTTATCTAATTTGTCCGCATTGTTAATAAGTCCGGCTTAATACTATTTACACGAGCTTTTAAAGATCAAAATGTATTGTGACTTGTACAATATAAATAAACGAACACAAGACTTACACTTTTCACAAAAGGTTATTTCTATATTATGTTGGTCCACTTTGAAATGAAACCCAGATAGTAAACAGAAATGGGTAAAGTAGATTCCTACATTTAGAATATATTTTTAAAACTTTTTCCATCTCGATTTACAGGCCACCGTTAAACCTTCATCACGGTGTCACAGCCAGCGACCTGTGCCTACACAACATCTGAATCTTTAAGCAGATAGGTATTATAGTATAAATATGACTGGTAGATAGGAATTCCATAAATACACGCCGCGTAGATACCTGCACAAACGATATACTGTGAGTAAACTGTAATATTAGATGTAGGTATAGTCAAGGAATGTCGAGCAAAGTGCTGGAAGATAATGAGATGTAGAGATGTACCTACTGGTATAACTAGCGGTTTCCCACGACATCGTTTGCGTGAAATTCAAAACTTTAATCCGGCCATTTCCAAAAATAATGTGTCTTGTTAGGTCTTTTCGCAAGGCGAAATACCCTTTTTGTGTGTTTGCTTATATTTATACAAACTATGAATACTTAATCTTTTCCTTTCATTCTCTTTAAAAACTCGGAGCCCATTATTTGACGAGTGGCTGTTAGATTTATAGATGCCATCCTGCTTTGCCAATTTAATTTAATCCAGTAATTTTACATACACGTGACAGTTTCTTATAAGCTTGTATTAATAAAAACTAAGTATATTGACATACAAACAAATCAACGTCTTAATATTGTTCAAATACTAATTCTGTTTACTTTACCGACACTTGTTCCATCGTAACGTGATAACATAGACTCGCGAGGACAAACAAAAGCTATAGTAGCAAGACTGATGTTGTTACGAGAAACTGTTTACGTGCCGATGTGCAAGAAATAACAAAGTTTCCATAACCTTTTGATGCGTTATTGTTATTTCAAGCGAACATAAAACACCGTCCCATTCTGTTTGCTGCGAAGTGCTGGAGCATGAGTCACCTTTTGAGCCAAAGAAATTCGCCAGAGACTATAGGTGTCATCGCTGAAAAGGATACAAAGCAATTCATAAAACTTCTTCCAAAACGTGCTGAAACTGCTAAGCCTTCACAGCTGCACAGTAATAAAGTAGGGATAACAAAATATAAAGTTTGTAAGGGATAGGTGAGCAAAACTTCGAGAAAAACTTATTAGCCATGTATTTAAATAAAGGGACAAAATATATTTTAAGATCTTATAGAACGCGCTATTTTTCTATACCTAAAATAATCTAGAATTTAAAAAAATATATAGCTGTAGTCAGCTGTAGTGAGTAATTTTGTCTGTCTGATGAACTATTTCGAATAGACTTTATTTTTCAAAGCTATCTCAATATTAGATCTATATTTCCAGCAATTTTTACGATTTCAATCTAATAATACCTCTACATATTAAACCAGTCACCATCATACACCCCTTTATTTTCCAAAAACGCAAAAATACCCTTTATGTACTTCCTACCAAAACATTATGTATATAAAAATCCCTTCTCAATTTTATCCCCCTCCTCATCCCTTCAACTTTTTACGACAAAAAGTAGCCTTCCTATCCTTCTCCAAACTCCAATCTATCTCTCTGCCAAAACTCATCAGCACGGCGTAACGGCTTCGGCGTGAAAACTGACAAACAAACAGTTACTTTCGCATCTATATCTATATCTATATATAAAAGAAAGTCGTGTTAGTTACTCCACTTATAACTCAAGAACGGATGAACCGATTTAGCTGAAAATTGTCAGGGAGGTAGTTTAGAGCCAGGAGAAGGACATAGGATACTTTTTATCCCGTTCGAAATAAAAAAAAAGTCTGCTTATTTATTGCCATTAAGGCGGAACAAAGTTCGCCGGGTCAGCTAGTAATATATAAAAGAAAGTCGTGTTAGTTACTCCACTTATAACTCAAGAACGGCTGAACCGATATAGCTGAAAATTGTCAGGGAGGTAGTTTAGAGGCAGTAGAAGGACATAGGATACTTTTTATCCCGTTCGAAATTAAAAAAAAAAAGTCTGCTTATTTATTGCTATTAAGGCGGAACAAAGTTCGCCGGGTCAGCTAGTTTATAATATAAGATATCGCGCATAGAGTATTTCGTTCTTTCCTGACAAGGGTAACCTAACATACGGTGAATATACGAACATTATTAGATTTGGGCTCGGAGCTCATGCATCTCCAACCAATCTATCATTTTGTTTGATGGATATTATGGGTAATATCACGTTATCGAAGACGTATACCTGCCTGTCGCAACAGCGACATTATCAATTTAATTACGTATACAGCCTTTTTGAACAATACTCGGCTTCGTAACCAATTCACTTCAAATTATTTAGCAGATCCATCATTATCTGTTTAAGCTTTTATGTATTTAAAATCACGTTATCTCACTCGTTATTAAATATTAATTAACCGAATGCCAAAACCAATATCCCTCGTACATTTCAACTTTTTTATCTTCATTATTTATTCACATGAAACGATCGAAGTAAAAATAACAGCAACGTACGTAACATCGGGAGATTAAATCTAAATGTATGTACATATGTAAGGACGTCTATTTTTGTTTGCCACAGCCAATCAAGATTTACAAAAGGGGCTCGGTTTGGTTATTGTACTCAAATTTGTTAGAATTTTCCCATCCCTTAAAATTATGTATCGGAAATAGAATTGAACAAAAGCAATGCTTATGAAACAAACTGCGGCACAACAAATTCAAACATCATTGGAAGTTCCGAACTTTATTAATATTGTTAAAGAGCTTATAGCTTTGTTATCCACACAATGGTATAGAAAGTTTCAGGAGTAGGCACGTACGTTTAATAATGAAGTGATTTTGTCCATGTATTTTAATCTAGCATTGTCCTGAGGTGAAAATGAATACAGAAAATTCCACACTGCTGGAAACTTTTCCCGGCATTTTCTGTTTATTTGTAAAACGTGGATTTCCTTTTACATCCCCAATACTTATTCTGTAACTTGAAAAGCTGTAACGAAATAATACCTTTACCTTTAACGTGAAACATGTTTTTCATTTTAAAATCATGTTGTTATTACCTAAAAGGTAACAATTCTAAGTGTATAATTAATAGCACAAACATTACACCGAGCTACGTAGTAAGAAACATAGTTTTTAGATACCTACCTAAAATCTCTTCGACATAATATTCTAAATCATGGTACTCAGTACAACAGCTTGCAGTTGACTAAAGGTTAGAGTCGAGCATAGTTAAATCGTAGAAATTACTAGAAGATATTGATTATTTTAGCGAACTCGGAATATCCCAAAAATACTACCTAAATCCAATAAAACGGCAGATAGGCTGAAAGTTAATCTATCATCAGTATGTTACTAATCAAAAACTTTCGCCTTAATTAATAATTGCTAAAATGCAACTTTTATAATTTTTAGAGTGACACGTTAAATCGCATCATAAAATTAAACTATCCAATTATTACCATTCCATTAAATAAGAAATAACTTTGAAAAAGTTTTCAATAATAACAAAAACCAAACAAAATTGAATCATAAGATTTATGCTGCCAAATACATCTAAAGAAAACATACTCACTAAACAAACACTCGTGTGGACACAAGAAACGCTAACACTTTACGGAGTTTACGTAGCATTTATCACAATTTTTAACTCTAGATCCCGGTATTTACTTAAAATTAGCACGATAGCGGTAATATACAACACAAAATAGGTACGTTTGTATAACATAAACTTATTCACAAAGAACAGTTCACATTTACACAGTATTTTTCGGCGAAAAACAACTGGAAAATTGTTTTTGCAAGTTATGCGTCCGTAACTGCTACGACGTAGCTCGTAGCGAGTCTCGGCGTAGAGGCGCGCGGGCGGCGTACGATGCGCTACTGCCGGCCCGAGACGCCTCGCTCAAAACACCTACGGTGCCGTAGCATAGCGGCGCGGGGTGACCTAAACACCTTCAGGGCTGGCACGTTTGTAAACAGAGGCCTTTACCCATCTAATGACACACGATATCTCACCCACGATTATAGAGCTATTAAAATTCTCCTTAAAACCTCCATTATCCAATCACAGTCGTTCCCCACAGCTTAATAGCTAGGAAATACCCTGCCTATTCAAATAAAACTAGCTATAAAGAGTGTGGTGGACTGGTTTTACGGCATTGCAGCTCGGCTTACCCCGGCCAATTAACGGTCATTCTCCGGATCTGGATTATTTTGTTGATTACCCCGACCTTTTTTATTTTTGAATTTAGAGTAAGTTTAGGTAAAACATTTCAAAATAGACATTATTACGAGCATATTTTTTATATTGGCCCATCTGTAGCAAGCAGGAATAAAAAGTTATGCGACATCAAAATTTTCATGGTCGGGGTAATCAATGTTGGGAGTCAGAGTAATCAAAAATAAAACAAAATATTTTATTTTCTAAGGTTTTTTTTAAGTTATGGTAAAATAAATGTCATTATAACTAGCCATTTGTTATTTTGATGTGTAAACGACAATATTGTAAAGTTTCAACAAAATCTGTTAAGTAGTTGTTGCGTAAAAGAGTAAAAAACATACATATACATTATACATATAATACTAGTGACTCAATGTCATATGTCTCCTATATGGGACAGAAGGTGTCCACAATTTACAGTCCTCCATCGCATTCGGTCTTGAGCTTCGTGTTTGATCTCGCTCCAAGTCTTAACAGTGCGCCGTTATGTTTTTTTGGCGCGACCACGTTTGCATTTTCCCTGGGGGTTCCAATCTAGAGCCTGCTTGGGGATGTGATCGGGGTCCCTTCGGAGAGTGTGGCCAATCCAGTTCCACTTGCAGCGTTTATTCTGCTGAAAGGTCGGTATTTCGTGGCAGCGTTCCAAAAGTTCGTCGTTTGAAGATTTTGGAGAATTCGGCGAAGACAGCGGCTGAAGAAGATCTGCAGCTGGTGCGAGATAACCTTAGTGACCTTCCACGTTTCACGCCCATAGAGCAGAACTGGTTAGACGTTGGACCCGAATATTTTGATCTTGCTTGGGTCAATTTCCGTGACTGCCATACGGCTCAAAGTTGTGCGAAGGTAGCTCTGGCCTTGGCAATGCGCGAAGTGATGTCCTCTTCGGCACCTCCAGGCTCTGAAACGATGCTCCCGAGGTAAGTGAAATTGTGGACTCGTTGGACATCCTCTGCACCAACGGTGTGCAATACATAGTTACACCCAGATCCGTCAAAGAAATTAAAATTCATCATTTCAATTTCTGCTCGGCCGGCCGACTCGAAACAGCCTCTCGGCATAGTATCAAATGCATTTGGTCGCCGTACAAATCACCGCTTCACGACACGAACGCACGTAAACGTCACGGCGGGAAAAATGACACAGGTCCTGCCTTGACGGGCGCTCGCGCCATACTAATCGATGTCGGCTTGCGTATTGTAATTTATACTGATATTCACATCAATATTTTGACAAAGTGGTTACTAATATTTAAACAATAACTGTAGAAATCAATTCTACAATGAATATTCTTTATTTTGGGATACTTTTATTGCAGTTATTGCTGTGTTTTTAAACCAAAAACCACGATCAAAATGTGACGTAAATCTTCAAATTTGCCAAATTATTTTTAGATTTTACTCAATAATGGTAATGAAATTCAAGAATCTATTTCATTAATGTACTACAAGAATATATGTCCGATGATTACTATATATTTTTAAGCTTATTATATGAGCATAAATAATAGATACAGGACTTTGAAAATGAGTCTGCGGCAATTTTTCCGTAAAATGGTTGTGGGAGATGGGGCATTGTGAATTAAGCAAAAGAGTTTTAGTAAATCCGTTTCATTAATGGACAACACCAAGGATTGACCTATCTTTCGCAGTTATTAAATAATCTCTGGGTGTTGCTTAAGATAGTAATTCATGCTTCCAAAATCTTAGAAATTCGCACGAAAATGTAAAATGGCTCTTAAATCTATCAAATTAAGGTGTTTACATTTTGTTACTAGTGAGGTATAAACCAAAACCATATTATTACGATATCAATCTATCTAGTTCTATCTTTGGTTCGTATCTAGAATTGTATGTGTATGTAAGTATATATTATCTATANGGTGCAGTAATGAAAACACAGGATATCTGGCACCTATAAAAAAGTGTTGATAATTAAATTACAAAATCGTAAATGTTTAGGAAATATCCATAAACAGTTACTTTGGATACTTGATGTAAGTAATAAATACCTGGAAATACAAAATAAATTACCTAAAGCGTAACTTAACTCGTAGATTAATTGGTACTTTCGCTCGAGTTCGGAACTTCGCTTATTTTGATAAACAACTTCAATCAATAAATAACAAACAATCATGTTGGATAAGACAACTTCTTTGAATTCACGTTTATTGAAGCTATTAAGCTAGGTATTTGTACTAAATCAAATTTTAATATCTTTATCCGTTTATTTTAAGGTTTATTTGCTTTACTGAGGACTTATAATTAGGTTCGTAATTATACTACTTAATTTTCGTAATAAAATAAGCACATATTTTCAGCAAACTCATTAAATCTCGCGTTCTTATTTTTTAAAGAGATGCTTAGTTTTGTTGATCTAATAAAAGAAACAAAGTTTTCTAAAGAAAGTTTAGCTCTTAAACTGTTTACGCTATTTTCTTCTTATTTCTATACAAGTAGGTAGGTATATCAAAGAAGGAAAATACAATAACTAAAATACGAAATAAGAAATGGTTTAGGATCATAAAATATTACGCCCGGTGGTTCTTAAAAAGACATTACTGAACAATCTCCGTAGCTGTACCAGCATTATTTTATCAAATATGGTGTTATTTTTAATACTAATGCAGAATTATTATTTTTTTATCCACAACGAGTAAACTTGGCCTGTATCTAAAGTAGAAATGTGGATTTATTAATACAGTGTGAGTCACGTTAAAGTGTACATATGAAAATAGATGAAACTAGACCTATTTTTATCGACAAAAAAGTGGTCAAAAAATTTTTGAGTTTTTTTTTTTAATTTTTTATAGATTTTTTTTTCTTCCAATTACTTACTGTAAAGAAAACGTAATAACTTTTAAACTAAGCGGTATATCCTGATAAAATAAAAACAGTAATAATGCTAAATAACAGGCGATACTAAAAAAATACATACAATACACAAAAAATGCCAACAAATAATAAAAAAATGATACTTTTTGAAAAAAATCTGCTTAAAAATTCGTGTTTTTTTGGTTATTTGATAAATTTCTCCGAAAAATGCCCCTATAACAGGTGGTTTTTATTGTTTTGTATTATTCTCTATTGTATTACCATTGTAAAACCAAAAATTGCATATCTCTATCCCTATCACAACATTTGCTATGATCGTTTGAACTAAGCCACTCCGGGCGCGCCATTCAACGCTTCGTTAACAACGAAACTGAAAATGGCTCTAGATTTGTAATTTTGATAAAGACAAGTTAGATTTCAAGTAAAAACAAAAGATTTCGAAGTAAAATAAGCATTTTAGTTAAAATTAAAATTGTCCCTACCTGTAGAGGAGAATAATGTTGTGGTAGGCCTTTGTTCAAACTATCATAGCAAATGTTGTGATAAGGATAGAGACATGCAATTTTTGGTTTTACAAAGATAATACGATAGAGAATAATACACAACAATAAAAACTACCTGTTATAGGGGCATTTTTTGGAGAAATTTATCAAATAACCAAAAAAACACGAATTTTTAAGCAGATTTTTTTCAAAAAGTATCAATTTTTATTACTTGTTGGCATTTTTTGTGTATTGTATGTATTTTTTTAGTATCGCCTGTTATTTAGCATTATTTCTGTTTTTATTTTATCAGGATATACCGCTTAGTTTAAAAGTTATTACGTTTTCTTTACAATAAGTAATAGGAAGAAAAAAAATTCTATAAAAAAATAAAAAAAAATCTCAAAAGAATTTTGACCTCTTTTTTGTCGATAAAAATAGGTCTAGTTTCATCTATTTCCATATGTACACTTTAACGTGACTCACACTGTATTACCAAACTAAATAAGCTATAATTATTTATTAAAAACATCTTTTTAGGGTATTCTACCTGGTTGCCGCCAGTACATTTCATATTAATAAGTACCTACTTAATATTTACTAGCTTCTGCCCGTGGCTTCACCCGTGTGAAATTTAGCTTGTAACATCGTTTTAAATTATTAGTTATTACCTATATGTTAGTCTGATTAGGTAAACGATAATACTGTAAAGTTTTCCTCAAAATCCGTTCAGTACCTTTTGCGTGAAAGAGTATTAAATTATACATCCATACAAACATTCGCATTTATACGAGAATATTCAATAGGTACGAGTTAATAAAAGCAACTTAAGCAACCTGTCTGTAATACTAAAATAAGAGCAATAAACTTTTGTAGCGATAATATCCAACTAAAATAATTCAATTCGTATTTTATGTCGGCAAGAAATTGAATATTTTTTGTTCGGTAACTCAATGCACATTGGTTGTGTGTTGACTTGCCGCCCATAGACTTACGTTAATCAACCCGCCTCACCTCAAACTCGACCCATCCCGCTCTCTGTGTGTCACGCTTTATTAGTTTCACCTACCCCGGTGTCTCTTTGTGGGTAATCAATTCTTGGACTAGTATATGATGATCTTTCGAACTTGATTGAGCTGATAAATAATACATTTAAAATGGGTGAAAAACCCATTAAAAAAAAATAAGTACTTACGATTGTTTTCCATTTTAAACTTTCATCTTTATTAGTTTAGCTGGAAATCTAGTAGAATAATGTTGTAAATCCGAAATATTAAAGTACAAAAAAGCTTTAATTCGATTCGATACATAGCTCTAAAATAGAAGATAATATTATACTCATTACATACTTACAAAAACCGAACAAGTTGTCCCATTCCTACTTAAATCGCCTCATCAAATTAAGAATTTACAGGAGTGCCCAAAACCCTTTAACATTTGAGTCCCTAGATCAGCCGCCCCTAAAGGTTTGGTAAAAAAGATGTTTAAATGTTTATTTTCTTGAGTACCATCTACTTAGGTACCTACTTACTTTCTATTCTTTATTAAAAAAAATGAATGACTGTGAGAAAATCCTTGCTCTATTAGTATCATAGAGTGGTTAATAACTCTATGATTAGTATCATCAACATAGAGCTTTACGAAACATTTTATTAACAGAAATAAAGTAGTTAAGCTAAGAAACATATTAAATAAATTAAGTGATTTATTTTATAATAAATAACTCAATTTCGCCTGGTTTTTTGGAGCTTTAGTTTTGTAATAATATTAATAGTATGTCCAATCGAGTCAAGCAAGTCATTTTAAGTTTAAATAGCAAATTACAGCTACACAACAATTAAACGCTATAATAGTAGGCCTACCTACCTACCGACCTTTCTACTTAAAACCACACTTCTGAGTTGTAGAGAACAATTTATTTATCATAGGTAGTCCAGTCAATGAATGCTTTAACGACGGTGTAGAGAGAAATCCCTGGAACACAATTTCTGACCTCGGGACTTTATTTAGACTAGTTAGGAGGTGAACATAGTAAAAGTCCCCGCCCTTAGCCCTTGAGCCGGCGGGGTTTAAAAAGGTGCCACTTTTCGGTTTTTCGCTTAATCCTCGGAAACTATGCGTCCTAGTGACATGGCTACTATGAACCAAAAAAAGCTTATTCAATTTGCTACAGGTGAGACAGTCAAGTTTTTCTATATCTTGTATAGTTTTCGCGGCATCTGCTCTAGAAGGTCTATAATATTGTAAATTTTAATTTTATCTTACATGTTCCCATCAGAAGAAAATCGACTAAATCAACATTAAGCAAACATTATAGACATGCGGGAGCATGTTAAGCCTAGTTCCAGGGAGGGGACTGCATCGTGCGTATATTTAGACGAACTAATTGGAATCACTTTTGACTCCTCATCACTCAAAAAGCACTGTGCATTAACACTTCAAATTAGGCTCATGTGTTGAGACTTGCAAGATAAACATCAGCTTTAAATTTCATAAATATACCTCAAACGGTTATTTAGGTATTGGCGTTCAAAAATCGACATTTAGGACACTAAAATCTAACTATCACCTGTGAAATGTTAAAATTTACTGGTTTTTTATTTGTTCCTTTGTATTTACACAACTGCCTATTTGGATGCCAAATTTAAACCTTCATGGTCATCTGGAAGTGGTTAGACTTTGGTCTTATAGGTCAGCCATGTAGATTTTTAGACGTCAATAAATAAAGAACCGTTTGAGGTATGTTTATGAAATTTGAAGCTGATGTTTATCTTGCAAGTCTCAACACATGAGCCAAATTTTTAGTGTTAATGCACAGTACTTTTTGAGTGATGAGGAGTCAAAAGTGGCTCCAATTGGTTCGTTTAAATATACGCACGGTGCAGTCCCCTCCCTGGAACTAGGCTTAACATGCTCCCGTATGTCTAGAATATTAGCTCAATGTTAATTTAGTTGATTTTCTCCTGATGGAAACATGTAAGACAAAAATTTCCAATATTACAGACCTTCTAGAGCAGATGCCGCAAAAACTATACAAGATATAGAAAAACTTGACTGTCTCACCTGTAGCAAATTGAATAAGCTTTTTTTGGTTCATAGTAGTCATGTCACTAGGACGCATAGTTTCCGAGGATTAAGCGAAAAACCGAAAAGTGGTACCTTTAAACCCCCCTCTCCCCGCCGGCTCAAGGGCTAAGGGCGGGGACTTTTGCTACGTTCACCTCCTAACTAGTCTAAATAAAGTCCCGAAGTCAAAAATTGTGTTCCATGGATTTCCATCTATACTTAATGCTTTATTGACTGGACTAAGGTCATAAATTATTTTACGTTGGAATTGTGCGGCAAACAAACTATAGGATAAACTAGCAAGCTACAATTAGGTGGATGCTTACGTACTAAACCAACGTGCCAATTTAATGGTCTTATAAATCGTGTTTACAGCATCATAAAAGGCATAGTCCGATCCTTAAAATTTGCCGCTCTAGGCTTCAGCCAGCCTACTACATAGTAGGCTGAATGGGCGGCAGATTTAGTTCACAGCCTGCTGGCAAATCCGCCACTGTGCATTGGGTTGAAGCGAGCTTAAAATTTGCCCTTAAAATTTGCCGCTCTAGGCTTCAGCCTACTACTTAGTAAGCTGAATGGGCGGCAGATTTAGTTCACAGCCTGCTGGCAAATCCGCCACTGTGCATTGGGTTGAAGCGAGCTTTTGCTGACACTCTAATTATTTTTTACACACAAACATTAATTTTGGATGCCTACGAATACAATACCATAAACGGATGGTATATGGTCATGACCACTGTATTTTGAGGAGTAGCCGTCTCCATAAACCTAGAATTTTAGATGCTTTACAACTGCGACTATACCTTCCTTACTCCTTGCCTGGGTTATCGATATCGACTGATTTAAGGATTACTTGAGCTTGTGCAGAATTAAATACGTATTCAAAAGAATCAAATTATAGAAACAAAAAAAAAATATTTCCAAAAATCAAATCGCGTTTTGAAACCTCAACTCGTTTAAAAACTTACTTGATAATGCCACTAAATAAAAATGTTCTATGCATTGCTGATAGTCTTTCTTACCTTGGTTACATTTAATTTTAGTTGGATTCTATGGTAAGTTAAATGTCAAAATGAGTGTTGTTTTCTGTCAATAGCAGGGAAAGATTTCAAAACGTTGCCGTAAAATCGCATGGGAAATTGAATAATCCTTTTGTTATTCGAAATGGCTGCAGTAAAGACTACAGAGGAAATAAATAAGGAAGACGTTGTAGAAAATGGCGAGGAAGAAGAGCTGGATACTGTAGAAGACGGCGAGAACAAAGATCCCGCCAAGAAGAAGAAAAAGAAAAAAAAGAAGAAGAAGACAGGTTAGCATCTGAAACTCTAATAATAATGCAAATCCAATCGATAATTTAGTCGTAAAAATGTACAATTACATGAACATTCAAGTTTATATAGAATAGCTGAGTAATGTATTTTTTTATTACAAAGAACCGCATGCTCTTGTGATATCCCAACAAAATCTTACAAGTTTAACAAGTATTTATTGCTATGATGAATTCTATCAAGTAAAATGTTGAAGTTCAATTACATACGAAATACATTTGAGTATAAATTGTAAAGTGTAAGTGACATAATACGTTATTTTTAGGTTATCCCAGTAATTGATTAGTTTGTACCAAGCTAGCAAGAACCGACGTAAACAACATCGATTGGTTCTAAGTTATGTTGACCCTTGATTGACTTTATTTCCAGCTGAAAATGACAATGCAGGTGAAGGTGAAGATGAGACAGAGTCATCAAAATTACCAGAACAAGCTAATGCTTTGTCTTTGGGAGATGCCGAAGCTGATGACAAGAAAAAGAAGAAGAAAAAAAACAGAAGCAAAGGTGGCAAGGGCTCCGGCAAAGAGCAGACTAACCCCCCAACTATACCCATTGCGGAGTTATATCCAGACAGTATGTATTTTCATAGCTAAATAATAAATTTACATTTGTTCATCATCATTTCAGCCATAGGCCTCCCCCAATGCTTTCCATGTTGATCGATTGGTAGCGGCCTGCATCCAGCGCTTCCCTGCTACCTTTACGATGTCGTCGGTCCACACTGTAGGTGGACGTCCCACGCTGCGTTTTCCGGTACGCAACCTCCATTCCAGAACCTTTCTACCCCATCGGCCGTCAGTTCTGCGTACTATGTGCCCTTACATTTATTACTGTTGCATTTGTTACTGCAATAAATTTGACTTGAATTTATCAAGTAAAATTTATTGCAGTAACAAATGCATTATAATCAATCAAAAAGTAAAGATTTAATTTTATTGTGAACCTGGCTGATGACCTCATAAAGGGCACAACAAAGGGACCTCATAAAAGGCTGCTCACAACCAGACAATCTGGAAACCATTGGAAGTAGGTCTGTTCAGCACCGACCATCCTGTGGTATAAATGATGATGATGGAAATAAATTGTAAATGATCACTGCATAAAAGTACTGTTATTGGGTTGCTTGCTATCTTTTCATTATATCCAGCTGTAGATAGAAGGGCATGCATAAATAAATATGTATGTATAAATTGCTTATAAATCTGTATATTTTAATTAGGGATTGTAAAAAAATGTTTCTTTTTAAAGGTAACTTCCCTGAGGGTCAAATTATGGAGCATGGTCCTGCTGAAGGTATTGATGAGAGGACTGCCAAGGACAGATTTTCTAGTGAAGAAAAGAGAGCCTTGGATAGGATGCAACAAGACATCTACCAAGAAATCAGGCATGCAGCTGAAGCTCACAGACAAGTTTGTATTATTTAGCAAAATTCACTATCTTTCATATCAATTTTCACCTTAAAACATCAAGAATAATGAACACTTGTCACAATTTGACTATTAGTAATGAGAAACATGATTTTATATCTGGTTTTAGACACGCAAGCATATTCGTGAATGGATCAAGCCTGGCATGACAATGATTGAAATTTGCGAAGAGCTTGAATCAACTGCAAGACGTCTAATCGGTGAAGATGGATTGAAGGCAGGGCTGGCCTTTCCTACTGGCTGTAGCCGCAATCACTGTGCTGCCCACTACACTCCGAATACAGGTACAATACAATTAATTCATCATTATAGTTTCAAGAATGTATTGCATTGCATATCTGTTGATTAAGAAATTGTGTCCAATGTCCATAGTATCATGATGTCATGCCTTTTACTTTATCATTATCATCATCTCAGCCATAGGACGTCCACTGCTGAACATAAGCCTCCCCCAATGCTTGCCATGTTGCCCGGTTGGTAGCGGCCTGCGTCCAGCGCCTTCCTGCTACCTTTATAATGTCGTCGGTCCACCTTTTACTTACTAATGCAATAAAGCCTCTCAACAGGAAACTCCATTTATTTCATATCATTTATAATTTATCTTTAAAACAGGTGACACAACCGTCTTGGAGTACGACGACGTGGTGAAGATAGACTTCGGGACCCACATCAACGGCCGCATCATTGACTGTGCGTTCACTCTGCACTTCAACCCGCGATACGACCCGCTGGTCAAAGGCGTGCAGGAGGCCACAGAAGCCGGCATCAAGGCCTCCGGTGTCGATGTCAGGCTGTGTGACGTGGGCGCTGCGGTTCAAGAAGTAAGTAACCGTATACTTCCACGCTTTATTAGTCTCACAGTCGGACGGTCGGATCGAACCAACGTCTCGATCATCCAAGAGCTTGATGTCAAACAGCGTCTTTCATCCATCGTCCAAAGTCGTATACTCACTTTCTTTGGCCATATAACACGTGGAGACGTCGCTTCTGTTGAACGACTTGTCGTGCAGGTTGAGGGCACAAGAGCGCGCGGCAGGTCGCCCATGCGCTGGACTGACCAGATCAAAACCGCACTCAATGGTCCACTCCACGAGTGCACAAGAAAGGCTGCAGTGCGGGAGGAATGGCGACGGATTGTGAGACTTGCCACCGGACCTGGTGTGACGACCACGACCACTCTGGCAAGAGTGTAGCGACGAAGAAGAAGTCGGACGGTCCCATTGTAGACTGCGTGTTCACTCTGCACTTCAACCCGCGATACGACCCGCTGGTCAAGGGCGTACAGGAGGCCACAGAGGCCGGCATCAAGGCCTCCGGTGTTGACGTCAGGCTGTGTGACGTGGGAGCTGCGGTGCAAGAAGTGAGTTACTGTTAGGTACTAAAGTTTTACACTTTCATCAAAATAAATGTCTAACCAAGGCATGAACTGAATGAAGAATTTGTAAAGTTTTACACTTTCATCAAAATAAATGTCTAACCAAGGCATGAACTGAATGAAGAATTTGTAGAGTCCACCAATGCCTAAATCTTATCTCGGTATCGGCTAGGCGCTGTGTGATATGAGTGCTGCAGTCCAAGAAGCGAGTTCAAGCTTACTTTGACCCGCAGTCAACGACAAAGCTTATGTTCATAGGTTTTAGTTTCCCCAAATAGTAAATTTATAACAAAATGTCTGTTTTCTATAGGTAATGGAGTCCCATGAAGTGGAACTGGATGGCCAAGTATATCAAGTGAAACCTATTCGGAATCTGAATGGCCACTCTATCGGACCATACAGTGAGTATGTTTGAGATTTCACCAGCAACAAAGAAAATGATCATCCTTTTAAATTCTTTAAATGAAAATACACTCAACATCAAATAAACCGCACCTTCCGCGACGCGAACTTTAAAGATTTTCTTCTGACACAATCATGGTACCCCGACAATATTGGTGTTATTTGAAAGCCCAAAAAATATCCTTAAAGAAAAACACATTTAATTTCTTAATAAAAGATTAACATATACCCTCGACTGCGTAGCCAGACATATTATGTTGCCTCAGATTGACAGTTTTTATATTCCGCAGTTTAAGGGATATACCATAAATGTGACTTGAAAGAAGACCTCAATTTGGGCTCACCTCTGGGATCAATTAGACCAAATTTTATGGTTATAAAACCAAATAATGATTACACGTGTCCTCTTTAACAGATGGATAGCGATTAATCCCAACTTAACAGTTTTATGGCCATAAAAGTTGGCTCAAACGTAACTACCTATTTTTTTAGGGTAAAAACCTTTTCTTTAATGAAATGAAGTTTAGAACTAGGCTTTTAAATGGTGCCAATATTGGTAGGAAGTGGGGATGCATACGTTTCAAAGTGCTCGTCGCGGGAGGTGCGATTTATTTGACGACGAGTGTAGCTCTCATAAGGTTTCTTCAATTTTCTCCTTGTAATTTGCAGGGATTCACGCCGGCAAGACGGTGCCGATCGTGAAAGGCGGCGAGACCACGCGCATGGAGGAGAACGAGTTCTACGCCATCGAGACCTTCGGCTCCACCGGCCGCGGGCAGGTGCACGATGACATGGACTGTTCCCACTACATGAAGAACTTCGACCAGCAGTTTGTGCCTCTAAGGTAAAGTATAAATACAGTAAGCTACATCATCACAAAACCTTTTTCAACTTTTAATATTATTATCCACCAAATATTTCATGTTAGATTCCCTCAATACAAATTATTTGTGTATTTAGGTTGTTATCAACTTTTTGGCCACTTTGGGTATCACGAACTATGCGTTTTCAGTGGCGTAACTATAGGGTCGCAGGGCTGGCAAAATGCCACAGGCCCCCTACCCGAAGGGGTCCCGGCCCAAAATCCTAAGCGTCCCGGGGCCCTCCCTGAAAAATAACCCTAGGCCCTTGGATAGTTATAATAGCCTTTATTAAATCTTCCTGCGTGCAGTTGTTTGGGCACGCAGGACACGGCATCATGTGCTTCGTCGACTGCGGAACAAAACCACAGTTGCATTCAAGTTTGAGCCACCCAAGATTGTTGACTAATGAAGGTAAAATTAATATTATAAATCGTTATTACAGATTGCAGTCCTCGAAGCAGCTTCTCAACTTGATCAACAAGAACTTCGGCACGCTCGCGTTCTGCAAGCGCTGGCTGGAGCGCGCCGGGGCGTCCCGGTACGCCATGGCGCTCAAGGACCTGTGCGACAAGGGCGTGGTGGACCCCTACCCGCCGCTGTGCGACGTCAAGGGCTGCTACACGGCGCAGTTCGAGCACACCATCCTCCTCCGGCCCACCTGCAAGGAGGTCATCTCCCGCGGCGACGACTACTAGCCCGCGCCACGAGCCCGTGCATGTCGTGAGTCATGACAGAGCTTAGATTAATAAAGCCTAGATAGATAGTCAGTGCACGAAAGGTGAGGCAGTTTTTAGGGAGCCGGCACGGCTCACCCGTAAACGTCACATGAACTGTCAAAGTGAAAAATTGGTAAACACGTCCGACGAATTTTAATTAATTAAAACGGTTTGTGCTGTGAAAGGGTGTCTAAAATACATCAGAAAAACGAAAGAAAGTGACCAGTGTTACATTTCATAAGTAAGTACTACAATTCGACGCGTATTTTGCTTGAATTTGGCTTTCAAAAATTAAATACGGGAATGATACCAGTAACAAGAAAATTTATTTCCCAATTGTTCGCCGTACAAATACACTTCCTTTTTTTATGAAATCGAGACTTTTAAGTCGATTTATCTTATTGTTATTAGGTAGGTACTTTGAATTCAATAAATAAGTAAGTACATGATGCGTTTTGTTTTTGTTAATTATAAAATAATTAAAAACGTACTAAAAATTTCCCTACTTCCGGGAAAATCGCCTTCACTGTCTACACTCCCCAACAAAATTGACACTAATGACATAAGATTTTTGCCTCACTCTTGACGAAGCGTTTGTATGAAGACTATCCATCTAGGTTTTATTAATCTAAGTGACAGAGCGTCACAAGCGGCCACTCGGACCCGCAAGCGAGGAGGTGAACACCCGCACCGGGGGCCGTGACTCATGACATAGGGCCGCTCCAATCAGACGCCGACCGCTCCGAGCGACCGATGTTTGCCAAGACCAGCCGTAGCGAAGGCCTCCCACACTGCGAACTCTTATCCGACTGGAAACGAATGGTAAGACTCCACGTCGAGATCCATCGAAAACGTTCCGGTCGCAAGGAAACCGACACGCATAGAGAAATAACGAGCATTATTTTTGCGAAAATACAGAACACAACCGAACTCGTCTCAACTCGTACCTCATGTTGGGAAAATTTATTGGCATCCCACAAAAAATACTTTGGTATTAATTTTTATTACTTTTAAAATAAGAGCTGTGATCGGTGTATTTTAATAGAGTAGAAAGTTTTTAGCCGGGACGTGATGGTAGCCGTAGCATCCCCAAAGTAATAAGTAAACGAGCTACACATACGAAATAATGCAATTTTTACAGTGTTTTCCCTATATTTTTGTGTATTTTTAACATTATTATTAAGAATATTTTCTGTAGTTGATTTACATTAACGCTTTTTTTTTTGTTTTGAAGTACGCTGGTAAAAATATTAAAACTCATGATGAAATCATAAGATAACACATAAGCACTAAAAGCATAATTATTATGTCATAGGTAAGTTGTTATTCTATTTTAAAATTATGTATCCATATCAAGAGCAAGATATACTGTAATATTTTGTTGTTTTGTTAGATAATGCCATTTTTTCAAACTGTTAAACTTAGTGTAAAAAGTAATACATTAGTATTACAAATTGTCAATCAGTCAGCATCTATGAATAAAAGTAAAGATAAACAAAGTTTTTTTTTTAATTATCAATAATTTAACCCCATAAAAAAGTAGAGCCTTTATAAAAAATAAATTTGTCTTGGGATGCGGTTTAAGTACGATTACACATGGTAACGTGGAAGTGGAAATAAGACTAAACCAAAAATAATTAAAAATAAACACAAATTAATTTTCGACGTTTAATTTTTAGGAAAACACTAACTTTATTAATTTACTACAGTCGCAAATAGGTATAAACGCGAGTACACTATTTACCTTCATAGTACAAAAATCTTTCGCCAGTAACATGGTTTCATAAAAGTGTATAAAACCGCTAAACATCACACCACACCTAATGTAAATTAGTATAGCTAATGAATATCAAAGTTACAAACGCTATCACCTAGTCAGCTACTTGGTCACCAGCAACCTTTATATCGGGCAACCAAGTCATTATTAATATTTTTGCAACTGGCACTGGTAGCAGTCTCAGAGCACGAGGTACACAATAGGCTAGTTTTCTAAAAAATAACTTAGTCCGTCAATTACACACACGTATATTTTTATTCGTCAAACAAGTATTACGAAGTTATGATGCGTTAAAGTTCGGCGTGACGTCACGTGCTACACATTTAAGCACGCCTTGACGTCACACTCTTTTTTTTTTAACTTTAACGCCCTTATCTTTAAATTTTAATAAGTTTGAAAAAGTGAAAAATACGTGTCGACTATCGATTTTTTGATAAGTTAACTGATGGACTAATGCCCGTTTTCACCATCAATCCCTAATTTTAAAGCGACCCTTATGAAAACAAAATTCCTGTTATCGTTACCATTGGGGTCACTTAAATATTAGGAATTGATGGCGAAAATTGACATTATTCAAACTTGCTTTTTTACCCAGGAAACATCCCTATTTATTGTTGGACTACCGATATTAGAGAACTTTCGAATGTTGTAGTTGTAATAGCGTCACATCACCCGCACTTCGGTCATATTATCATTGCTATCCTTTAGAATTGAGTGACTTAATCTGGTTCTTGCATCATAAAGAATATGGTGTTAGCCCATTATTGCCGTATACTAATTTCCATCTGTTCCATCGCGCATCGGTTTAAGATCTTTATTGTCATTAAGAATTACAAAAATTCTGTTCATAAAAAAAACGGATTGCTCAATTATTTCAAATCGGCTTTAGCATACAAAGAATCTACGGCCATAATTCGGTTCAATGTCCAACGATGTTTATCGGCAAAACTTATCTTTAAAATGCTGATCGATTTTAATCTTTATAATGTAGATTTAAAAGGATCAACTTTTATGGAATTTGTAGCACTGGCATCGTGATTCCTTTAGAACTCGTAGAGCGCCAAGTCTAGGAAATCCAATTTCTTGAAATATACATAGGTACCTATCTTTGCACTAGGTACAGTGTGAAGCAATCGATAGGTACTGAGAATACAATTGCTAGTTACATAATTCATTATTTTATTCATAATTCTCTACACATACACAACTACATACAGTACTATCTACTTTAAATCATTGTATAAAACCTTAACTATACTCTTTATAACAGCATCTTACAACTCTGAGCTGTAAAAGAAGCTGTAAGTATTCATAATAGGTATAATTTACTAATAGTAACCATCTAAACGCAATTTAACGCCAAAATCTTTTTCTAAATCAAGCATACTGTGGATATGTCGCAGTCAGATTGTATAATCCGCCGTTTTACATTACAGCTAGGCATTTTGCATTACAGCTCTGTTTTGTAATACGGCGGATTAACGTTTAGCCGGATTGAATACGGCTGAATGAAAATCCGCCGGAATGTATTCGGACAAAGTGGCTATGGATTCTGGTGTTCGGCGGAATCCTACACAATATTATTAGTGTAAAAATATGAAATCATGGCAGTGGCCGGTGAAGATAATTTTATCTTAAAGAAAAATAACCCAGAAAAAATGACTAAAACTTTATTGTTTTGAGTTACCTGTTCCCTTTGATCATTTTTAATGTCTAAAAAAGACTAAAGCCTAATATCTAATTAATTCTTAAAATGTTTAGAAAAGTCTAATTGTTTTGAGTTACTTTTTTTTAGATGGCTATCCCTTGTGATTTATAAATAAGTAAAAAAAAAGTACTGAAGCCAAATATATTATTTAGTATACAGTAACGAAGGTAATAATTCTTAAAATCTGTCTTATTAAAATTTATTTTCATTAAACATTGTTTTATTTTGTAAGTATGGTCACCCTACAATCTATAGAAGTACGATGCGGCTAAACGTGGGCCGCCGTATTGAAGAACGTATCGCAATGACAATCCGCCTAAACGTTGAACCGCCGTATTACAAAACAGAGCTGTAATGTAAAATGCCTAGTGGTAATGTAAAACGGCGGATTATACAATCCGACTGCGACAGATATACATTATAGAAATGTTTATAGCCACGTATTATATAAAATATAGGTACTTATAAAATAGAATCACCCACGAGCATTCCAACGCGAATTTTGGTAAATGAAAACATTGATTGTAAATAACCAAAACATGTTATCGCCGTGAATTGCCCGCTTACATAATCGGTGAGGCCTTTATCAAAATACAATGGATTTACTTGTTCAAAATATCAACTTATGTCTTTTTATCTTGTCATTTGTGCTGTTCATGTCTTAAGCAAGCCGTAATACATTTTATCACAGTAATTCCGTACCTATTCGGGTCAGTGTTCAAGACTATCTGGAAGTTGTATTTTATTAGCTAATGAGATCCACAATTTCTGTGGTTTCGGTACCGGTACCGGTATATTATCTAATTTAAGTAATAAGACATTTCGAATGATTTCATTAGGTAATACGGTTAACTTACAGTCAATATCATAAAAAACCAAAAAATTACTGTCATTCAATGACTAAGGACTAGATTAAAAATAAAATAAGTGAGTAATCAATGGGTATGTTTTCGTTTCCTGAGATTAGTGACTCATAAAATAATATACCGATTAAGTATTGCAATATTTGATACAAATAGAAAACCAACAATGTACACAAATAAGACAAATTAGTAAGTAAAATTCAATGCACTCTACACAAATTAGAGATGTCGATTCTCAGTGGTCATCATCATCAGATCTTACCATCCACTGCTGGACCTCTCCAGCTCCCTGAGTGTCACTCATTGATGATAAAATTCCGAGTACATAATGCCTTATACCAAACTGGTAAAGTATCACAGAAATTAACAATACCTAGCTAAACTATCTTGACATAATATCCAAAGTAATCCCACCATCTTACTATAGTTTGGTCAAACTACTCTATCGTGACATGAATTAGAAATAAAAGTAACAGATCTCATAGCCACACTTAAGTAACTAATTTCGTTAAGTTTTTCACATTATAATAAATAAGGCAACTTTTAAGTAAAATTAGGCCATTATCACCAAATTAAATCTGTAATACTTTAAATTAATGTACATAATAATATTATTACACCGGTTATCATTTTATTTATTGCATATGAATAAAGTAATTTATAAGTTTTTGAAATCATTGGAAGCAATTTGTAAAAACCTAAAGATTATTTTGAATTAATCAACATTGTTTAAAACCTGACTGTCACCATTAACAGCGTTTACCATAGTGTATGGCCAGTTGTAGATTGATTGAAGAGGTACATGTAGCAACTCCACCAGGTATCGGTAATTAGGTTCTGAAAGCAAAATAAAAATGACAGAATATGAGTGAAATTACCACTTATGGCACTAATTTATCTGCTTCAATAATTGAGAAGCTTATTAATTACCAGTTGTTAGACAATACTAACCATTCTCAGGATTTATGTAACCCTTTCTAATCAAAAAATCTATCAAAACTGGAGCACTTGTGGTTTTAAACTGCGGCGACAGAGCTCTTTGAATACACTCATCTGCGGTAAGTAGCTCAAAACTCTCCACTTCACCATCTGCATTTTGCGGATTGAAGTCCAAGGGCAACTCAAGGTCATAAACATACTCTGTATTGGGAAACAAGCCCCTTTCACTTTCAAAATAGAAGCTGAAAAAGTTTAAAAAAAGGTATTTATAAAAATGATCCCAGTCCTTTACATAATAATCTAGCCAGATGGATCGAGGTCTACCTGACACATCCTGCTGGCACCAGCTTCTTGACAAGATCACCTTCAACCGAGGCTTCTTCGGCTGCCTCTTTGATTGTAGTTTCTAAAATTCCATAGCCTACTGCTAAACCTCCACTAACAAAGCAGTCCCATTTTCCTAGAAATATAAAATAATCTTTGATTAGGTATCTTGTTTTACAGATCTAACATTTTGTTTAGTACTGATAAGTAAAATGATATTTCTACATAGTCATGCTAATTCTTCAGGGTTATTGCATCATCAATGTGTTTTAGTAGGACAAGGATCACCTAAAGACTAAAACAATTTAATAGTGTTTTACACTAACTTATTTCTATTGAATAGTATGTTTCCTTGAAGCTACTGACCAGGCCATGTCTGTTTAGTGAAGCTCCGCTGTTGTAGCCAGATGCACAGGCCTTTTGTAGGATGGTAGAGATACCCAGTAACACTAACTCCATAGTTACGGATCCCGAACAGGCAGATTGCACTTCTGTCCATCTCCAACAGGCTTTCATGACAAATAGGTGTGCTCACTTCAAAACACTGAAATAAAAATAATCCAATAGGATAATAAATTACATTATTTATAAAAGATGTAGAAGATAACATTATTATTAACATATTGAATTTTGAATTACAAACCTCATCACGCCAACCTTTGAGAGCACATATTTCATTTTCCCTCTTCAAACGTTGTAATACTTCAGCTACATTGGTTGTCCTTTCTTTGTAGTCACGAAAGGCTGGGTTCAACTCCACAAACTGGTCTGTAATTCTAAATGTCTGAAAACCACATACAAATCTTAATAAATCGAATAAGGAACAATCAATCTACTTTTAGCATTCAATTTCATAATATCTAAGCACTGTCAAGCTTTGGTAGTAATTTAAAATAACAGCTATAAGTTTTCACTAGTTAAGTTTAGTACACACCTCAGGGAATCGTTGAAGGTGCTTTAGAACGTTCGGCCGGATTAGACCAACTTGATGACCAGCAACAATAAAAGGTTTACAAACACCTTGATGCAAACCTGTATTAACCAAACCCTGTTAGAATGAGAACTACACATAATGCAAGATACATGAAACCATATTCATAAAAACGTACCTGTTAAATAAAAGCAGTTGAATTTTTTTGCTAATTTTAAGAGCTCTGAAGGACTGTTTGCGAAATTCATGTTTTTCATCGTATTTATTCCATTCAATTTCAAAGCTTGTTACCTATGGTCTATATTTTCAGTGATTATTCAGTATAATTTTGAACACTACCACAAATTCAGTTTTTGCTAATCGACACAATACGAACGGAGCTAATATTTTCCCATTTTATGACCGACTACACGAAAAGCTTGCTTCACAACGAAAATGAAATTTTATCCAAATTTGACAAGCAGCTACAAACTACCCACAGACTCATATAGATGACCCACGCTGAACTGTCCCGCCAAACTCAATGACAGGGGGGCGCTACCATCGTTCAACTATATGGTTTCCAACATGGCAAAAATCTGAACCAGCGATCCGGTATTGACGGTGGCGCCCCACTGTCAATGTCATCGACAGGACAATCCAGTATTTTGGAACTATAATCACACTTGTCTTTGACCATAGAGAAAAGTAATTCTTTGACTTCGTCACTTGTCTAATGGTCTTGTATAGTTCCAAAATACTGGACTGTCCTGTCGATGACATTGACAGTGGNGAACTATAATCACACTTGTCTTTGACCATAGAGAAAAGTAATTCTTTGACTTCGTCACTTGTCTAATGGTCTTGTATAGTTCCAAAATACTGGACTGTCCTGTCGATGACATTGACAGTGGGGCGCCACCGTCAATACCGGATCGCTGGTTCAGATTTTTGCCATGTTGGAAACCATGTAGTTGAACGATGGTAGCGCCCCCCTGTCATTGAGTTTGGCGGGACAGTTCAGCGTGGGTCATCTATATTAAAGTAATGAATTTGATAAAATAAACGCAATTTTGAAATGGAGAAAACACCAGGCTGTCAATTAGTAGGTTCAAAAATTTGACAGAGAGGGCTCCATAGAGAAAAGTAATACATAGGAAATAGAGAACCCTCTCTGTCAAATTTTTGAACCTACTAATTGACAGCCTGGTGTTAAATTCCCTGTACTTACCCTACGTACGTAACGCTCACATACATACATAGTACACGCACACATACATACATAAAGTCCACGCACAGATACACACAGTTCACGCACACATAGGCCCTCATAACCTTCAAAGAATTAATGTTTTTATGATGTACAATGTAGAATTTTTTCAAATCCATTATTTTGAAAATATTTATCTTTATGGTGTACGTATTGTATTATTTTCAAAACAATGGATTTGGAAAAATTCTACATTGCACATGGAAATGCAAATAAGTAAACAAAAACTTTTGAATTTAATAATTTTACTTTATTTATGAACACACATAATATATTATATACCAAAAGCGTCTTTTCGCAAAGTTTTCAACAACACTAAAAAAGCATTTCCACATTGAGAAAACTCAGATCACTTGTGAACATAACAGAAAGTTTCTTCGCGATTCACGAAGGAACGAACAAAACTCCGATGAACCAGAACAGCAGCAGGTACGAAGGAATTAACTTGAATTTGACTCGACGACTCTTCAATACTTTAATAGGGCCACAGAAAACTTAAATGATGGCTAAGAAAACAAGAATGCATTTAACATAACAAAAACAACACCGGCCATTTTGGAGGAAAAGCAAAGTTGCCATAATTATGTTAAACTAGCTTTCCGCCCGCGGCTTCGCCCGCGTGGAATTTTGTCTGTCACAGAAAAACTTTATCGCGCGAGTCCCTGTTTCAAAAACCGGGATAAAAACTATCCTATGTTCTTTCCCGGGACCAGTGGCGGATTAACGTATAAGCACTACAAGCACGTGCTTGGGGCCCCTGTTCTCCAGGGGCCTCCATCCTCTGCTGGCGCGCCAGCGCCAAGCGTTTCATTTCATACCTACATTTTATAGAGATTTAGCCTATGTTACTCGTAAGTAATGTAGCTTTCAAATGGTGAAAGAATTTTTAAAAACGGTCCAGTAGTTTTTGAGCCTATTCATTATAACCAAACAAAGTTTTCCTCTTTATAATATTATAGTGTAGATAAAGTAAAGCGCGTTTTCCCAAATATACAAGTGGCGTTTAAAGAAAGAAAGAAAGAAAAAAATATTACGATGAACATCACATACATGACAGAGAAAAAGACAGAAATGGCACATAAATATTACAAGGAAATAAAAAGTGAACTGAGCAGTGAGCAGTGCTATCCTGTCGCAACAGCGATGCCCATCGCAATGGGATTCCACTCAGCATATGCCGTGGCCCACGGTGGGGAAGGCCACGACGCTGGTTTTCAGTGGGCCCCATGCCGAGTGGAAGTCACGGAAACTAACCTAAACTGCATATCAACAAGGCCGTTTAAATCCTACTAATATTATAAATGCGAAAGTTTGGATGTCATGATGTCTGGATGTTTGGACGTTTGTTACTCTTTCACGCAAAAACTACTGAACGGATTTTGTTGAAACTTTACAGTATTACTGTTTATAACCCAGATTAACATATAGGCTATAATTTATGACGATCTGTGACATACTAAATTTCACGCGGGTGAAAATTTTGCCTAGTTTAAACTGACTGTACTGAAATAAAATTGTACTACGGAGGTATGGCAAGTGAAGTCATAATTTGGAGCATTTATTAAGGATTCCAAAATGGTATAACACTTGGTAAATTCTTGCTGTAATTGCCGAAAATTTTTGTTTTTTTGGAAATAATCCCGTTTTTAACTTTATCTACCTTGGTTAAATATTATTATTCTAATGTGCCCAAAATTAAAGTTTCTGGCTTAAGTGAGGTGGAGAAGCCATTTTAAAAGGTATGAGCGGAACGGAGAGGGCCATCTTACCAAGCAGGGATGTTATGGATATCGTAACCGATACTATCGGATATCCGAAATAAAAAAATATCCATAACCGTAACCGAAACTGATTCAAAAGTTATGGATAGTTTCGGATAAAGGCGGAGTCTTAAGTAAGGGTACAATAAATTCCAAACAGAAGCATTATTCAGGGTTACACAAAAAAAATNGCCCGGGACTCAAACTATCTCTATGCCAAATTTCATCAAAATCGGTTGCGAGGTTTAAGCGGGAAAGCGTAACAGACAGACAGACAGACAGACAGACAGACAGACAGACAGAGTTACTTTCGCATTTATAATATTAGTTGGGATAGTAATTTATACTACTCTATTATGTAAATTATAACAAAAAATGACAATGTTCAGTTTTAAATTAAAACAAATTAATTTCATTTAAAAAAAGTTTTCACATTGTAATCCCAACTAATATTATAAATGCGAAAGTAACTCTGTCTGTCTGTCTGTCTGTCTGTCTGTTACGCTTTCCCGCTTAAACCTCGCAACCGATTTTGATGAAATTTGGCATAGAGATAGTTTGAGTCCCGGGAAAGAACATAGGATAGTTTTTATCCCGGTTTTTAAAACAGGGACGCGCGCGATAATGTTTTTCTGTGACAGACAAAATTCCACGCGGGCGAAGCCGCGGGCGGAAAGCTAGTTAACAATATTCTCAAATATATTTTAATAAAGAAAAAAATGAAAATATGAAGGAAACAGGAGCAGCGACATCTAGAGCGTTTTAGGGTAGTTAAAAAGTATTTGAATTTATTCACCGATGTCGCTGTTTGGAAGCAAGTTTCACTTCGATGACCGTTGTATGGAAGTTTCCGCACCCTGGAGGGCTCTCTATTTTCTATGTATTACTTTTCTCTATGGACTAGCCAGTCAAGCGAGTCAGTCAGTACTCAATCGATTTCAAATGGTTTCTCTCTACTCTACCCCCCGTCTATAGATGACCCACGCGTCCCACGCTGAACTGTCCCGCCAAACTCAATGACAGGGGGGCGCTACCATCGTTCAACTTTATGGTTTCCAACATGGCAAAAATCGGAACCAGCGATTCGGTATTGACGGTGGCGCCCCGCTGTCAATGTCATCGATAGGACAGTTCAGTATTTTGGAACTATAGACAAAAACGTGAAAAAAATACAAATGTCATGTTTGCTGTCATGTCATGTCATGTGTGCGCCCCATACACAGCCCCCTTAGACAAAACGCACTTATTGATCGAATCGAAAATCGAATCCGTCAAAACTCCATACAAAAAAGGGGCTTTGCGACCACTTTTCGACTGGTTTGCGATTATAATTTGCACTTTGTCTAGACCCACAGATTTAAATAAATGCATAGATGCAGCATGTTAAAAACATTGTATGAAGCCGAGCGTGCCACTTTTTTAGCGAATTTTAGTGATTTCCGCAACGTAAAAATAATAATATCATCGTATTGCAATCGCAAAGTTATAGAATGATATCGTGTGACTCGATTCGACGATTAGTTAATTCCTGATATTTTCTTAAATTTATAGCTAGTCTGACTGTGGATTAAAATAATTTTGTAGCGGTAAACGTCATTCTATAATATTATTAATTTTCTTATTAATTTGCAAATAATATTTTTATTGTGCTTAATGTATATCAAAGTAATGATCGTTATTCCATTGTGTTAAATAGTACTAATACCTACCTAATTTCATACTTTTAAATATCCTAGTACCGACCTAGTTTCATGAAATAAAGACTAACTCAAGCTTTTTATTTTTAATAAAATGTAGAAATACGCTTTCTTTCATAAAGCTAAGTCAGGTACCTAGTTTTGAAGATATTTCTAAACGACAAAATCCAGTGCCATCGTACCTATACATATACCTACATAGAGGTTGCGATCACTAACCTAACTTCTTGATTTGTATTTTTTGACGTTACACAGTCTTCCGCGATCACTGATTTAATCGATTGTTGTAATCGGATTACATGAACATCACTCATCAATGTATGTCCATTTGGACATATCGGAATGGCACGCTTTGACGAGCAACTTGCTTTATCTACTCCATGAAGCTAAAGATAAAAATGGAGGGCAGAGTTGGAACAAAAACTTGAGTCAAATACCTACATAAATCTATCTCGCTCTCTGCGGCCCTACCTCTCTTTTTAGTGTGAACTGTAGTATTGCTATCTTCTGATTTAAATCTCTTTGTAAATTCTTCGAAATAACCTAGTTAAATAAAAAATCACAAAATTGTCGGCCATTTAGGCTTAATGTGTTGGCGAATCAGGGAATTACAATCCCAATTCCTGGGTAATCGGTACCATGTGGCAACATCGGCCCAATCCAGCCCATCATGGCGGTTGTTTACTATTTTGTTTATTAAGCAGTTAATTTCGTTTGAGATTGTTTACAGGAAATAATCATTGTTTTATCACAAGAATTGGTGCAAAATTTTGTAGTGCGTGGTTGCGGTAGTACGTGGTGTCCTGGAAGTGACATAAGATTCCACGCGTAAGTGTTTATTTCGTGATTTCCGACATTGGATCATTGTAAACATTTTTCACATTTTTTACAGTAATTTCTTCCTAAAACGTTTTACCAGTAATTACACTTATCATTTTTAATGATACCTATGTCAAGAAATAAAGATTTTACATTGGTTTCATTGAATTTGAGCAATTTTATATTTTTTGTTTATTAAGAAAGAGCGAGTCTGCCCACAGAGAGCGAGATAGTGATACTTAGTTTGAGCTTCAAGTAGGTATACGGAGTGTGGCCTCCATTTTTATCTGTAGCTTCATGATCTACTCTAATCCATATCTGTGGTCATGCCCTTGACAGGCCTTGTCATGTCATTAATGTCAATGAACGAACACTTCGCAAATTATTTTGTTGTTTTAATTTTTTATTATTTTTATTCAAACTGTTAAAAATCTGTCTCGTTGAGGTCGTAGCAAAAAAATTCGTTTTTATTTGTTCGATCTTTCTATAGTAGAGTGGCATTTTTAGTTAATTTATAACATCTCATCATTTGAATTTTTAATAGTTCGAAAGATGTCTCAAGAAGTTTGTTTAGGTATTCTAAATGAAATATCACCTGCATTTCGCCCGTACATACAATGTGTTTATCAAGATTTAAAACTCGGTAAAATCCTATTAAATATGTGCTTTATTGTTGTTTTGATTGGGAGTAAATTGATGAAATTCTGTTGGTTTAATAAATGCTACCTTTGTTACAAACTGAGACTAGTAATTTTATTTTTCAGGTTTGTGTAAAACCAAGGTAGACATCGAAAGAATATCTGGTGGCTTAGACAGCGCGGAAAGTCAGTTTCGTTTGATCTTGCCATATTGCTCCAAGAAATTGAAATGGGAAGTTATTTTTGATTCAACTGCACCTTGGTTTGCTCCTGACTTCAGATTTGATGATGAAAGTTTCCTGAGTAATGTTGATGAAGAATTCTTAGAAAGTAGACTGCCAAGTTTATCAAACTGGAAAGAAAGTGATCCCAGAGCATTAAGCGATGTTATTTCAGAGATGATTAATTTATACAAAATACACCAGGTAACCTATTTCAATGTTATCTTGGAAGTTAACTGTAATGCTGTATGTCTTGTATAATGATTAATTAACATTTATTTACTTGTTTATGCAACCATTTTAGATCAAGAAGTTAAATGAAGATGAAAGTTCTAGAGCTTATTTTGAATACAGTGCCTTACTTGGAGATGCACTGACTTCCGAAAAGGACATAGAGGTGTGGGTCGGTGGACATGTGGTTGAGTTCCTGATAAAACTCAATGTTGATACATCCCGGCTTCCTGAACTGTATTATGAAGGGTTTGTCAACATAAATATACAATTAAAAACTGAGATTGTTTCATTATGTTACCATTTGAAAATGTTTTAACATTTGTATTGTGATTGTTGCAGAACTGATCAAAATCCAGGTATTGATACTGCTCTCCTTTTAGTAAGGTACCCTAATTCAACAAATGCTGAATTAATTCTATCACCATTGCTCACTAAATCACTTGGGAATATATCATTGCCAGTGTAAGTATAACATGAATAGCTACATAATTCTTGTAATATTGGGAACACATATTTAATTAATTAAAACAATTCCAGAATGCATCAGTCAGGAGTTCTTATGGATTATGTCCCAATGGTCACTGAACTACTCAATAATAAGGTAGGTAAAATGTTTCACATGACATTATATTATCATTATCAATTGATAAATTTAGTTTTTAATTATTTTTTATGTTCAACAGATACAAGATGTGTTGAACAATGAAAAACTTAAAAGAGAACTGCTTGCTCAACTCATTGTAAAATATGAAGGAGCTGTGCTTGAGCATGATGCAAATAATGCAGCATTCCTGTTTGAGATGAATGATTTTCATTGGATTTTACAAATTGATTTAGGTGAGTCTGATAACAGAACTTTAATTACTTAAGACTTACTGCTGGGATGTAATTTCTAAATTATACTAATGTGAGACTTGATTTTCAGGTGTGAAATTTCCTGAAAAGCCTCCAATACTCACTCTGAGGTCTGTTTATCATAGTATCAAAGGAAAACCAAAATTCAAAGTTTTACCAGCATGTCCTTACAAAAACTTTGAGGGCTACATTGAACAACAAGTGGTAATTTTCAAAAATGAGTGCCAAGGACACAATTTATCAAATAACCAGCTAGTGAACTTGGATAATAATTAAATTAGATAATAATAATAATGTACTTACCTCTACTTATAAGTGACATAAGTTTAAGAATTAAAACATCATAATTAATTTAATTTGATTTTTATTTTTTAAACTAACAAACAATGCATAATTTTACAAGTAAGTACTAGATTGATAACCTTTAGTTCAAGTAACATTTTATTCAGCAAATCTTAGTATTTTGTTAGCTAATAGGTATATTAAAGTTGTAATGAAATAATTTTTCTAAAAGACGTATGTACTAATACGTAATTAGCTAAATAATTTTTAGAATGTTATATTTCATCACTTATGTCAAAGAATTAATAATAAATTATATAAATTTCTACAAAATACTGAAGAAGCGCCAAGTTTTTGAGATTTAAAAGTAAGGACAATTGAAAAACAATTTCAATACATACATTACAATCAAAACAATAAAATACAATCACAAAGAGTTACAGCAGTGACATCTGTAGTCGACAGAAGAACCCCACGAAACAATGATGTAGATCTACATATGTTTTGGCCATAAACCCAAAGGCTAGGAACCTCAATTGGTCAGTTCAGGGTTTTCTTTATTTCCTATCAACTCGTAACGGTACCTCATGTAAAATACTTTCATTCTGTCCCAAACATTATCTATGGAATCTAATGCTGGCCTCACATCAAGAAGCGCAAATTGGTACTTGTTATCAACTTCTCCTCCATCATAGTAGTCAATAACATATCGCACTTCTTTTCCGCACCTGTCCACTATCCAATCATGACGGTCAAATGGTAGTTCATACCTAAAACAATCACCATGAAGTGTTAATTGAAATTGGTATAGAAGAATTTCTTTTATGGAAATATAAGTAATAAAAAAATATTTCAGTTTCAAGAATCAAGATACAGATCAACAATAAAGTGAATCAATTTGATGAATTAATATGGATCTATAAATACATACCCAAGCCAAGACCGTATGATTGCCCTAGGACTGTATTGAGTTGCTTTACCACCAAAGCTTTTGAGCCTAGGATGCCCACATTCCTTTGCATGTAGTGCTTCCCATTTCAATACTTCTTGCCAGGCCTGAAATGAATTTGAAAATAAAATATATTATTGAGACTTATTTTCAAACTAGCTTTCCGCCCGCGGCTTCGCCCGCGTGGAATTTTGTCTGTCACAGAAAAACTTTATCGCGCGCGTCCCTGTTTCAAAAACCGGGATAAAAACTATCCTATGTTCTTTCCCGGGACTCAAACTATCTCTATGCCAAATTTCATCAAAATCGGTTGCGAGGTTTAAGCGGGAAAGCGTAACAGACAGACAGACAGACAGAGTTACTTTCGCATTTATATTAGTTGGGATTGTGTTTAGGTACTTATCTACAAAGGTCAGTAGACTTACCTGCTCATTATTAGCATTGTGAATGTGAATAATGTCTTCCATATCTTTTTGTTTAATGTCTTCATCCTTCCAACGCCAACCTTTGCGCATCATTGCATTCCAAAACATTTGTTGACTAGGATAGACCCAGAACTCTGTGGAACCATCAGGCATTGCTCGAGGAATCGACGACACTTGTCTGTTTGTGGGAAGAGAAAATGGCTGGTCTGGGGCTGGCTGCTGGTTCGCAGGTGGCATCTAAAAATAACACGTGTTTAGACCTATACTAATAAACAAGTTGTTAAATGGAACTCACTAAACTTTCATCTCCAATTTACCATGTTGTAGGGGTTGATATCATTCCCGTGTTGCACAGGACACTCCGAGGGCTTCTTCGTTTCAGTGGTATTTTTGTCATTTTGAACGGAAAATTCTGATGGTTTTCCTGCTTCTTTCGTTGACACTGCATTGCCTTTATTATGCATGGGACATTCAGGAGGTGGTGTTCCGATGTTCGGGACATTTTTTATGTCAACATTAGATTCAGCTGATACTTTATTACCCATCGTTGCTTTTGATGCTGGCTTACGTAAGACGAATGTAATGAAAGGTTATCCGATCAATGCTGTCATGATGTTCCAGCCTACAACTGATTATTACATTAATTAATATTTAATTGAACGAGTAAATTATTTCACAAAGAAGTGCAGGAAGTATACGTACTTTGGATTTTTCAATTTTTTTACAACAACATCACTCGCTCACACAAGATTCAAAATCGATAATTGTATTTTTTTTAAGTTGAAACTTGAAACTGTGATGTTGAATGTGTTTTACGCGGCGTTGGGCGTATGATTTTGGCCAATAAATTGTACTGAAGCTTTTGGCCATTGCAGTCGGCGGGTAAAGTCATGAAGCTATAGATAAAAATGGAGGCCACACTCCTAATACCTACTTGAAGCACAATCTCGCTCTCTGTGGGCCGACCTCTCTTTTTAGTGTGGACTGTAGTATTGACTGTAGACTCAAAATTTTGTTCCAAGTCTGGCCTCTATTTTTATCTTAAGCTTCATGGGTAAAGTCACCTTGACAAAATAAGCTGCCCCCCTAGACAAAACGCACTTTTTGATCGAATCGAAAATCGAATCCGTCAAAACTCCATACAAAAAAGGGGCACGGGCTTTTCGACCACTTATCGACTGGTTTGCGATTATAATTTGCACTTTGTCTAGACCCACTGAATGTCATAGAGTATATTGTGATCATGATCATGAAGCTAAAGATTGTGTTAGGTACAAGCTTAGGTTTTATTAATCTAAGGGTACAAGTCTAATTTTTTAGAAATCTGTGGGTCTAGACAAAGTGCAATTATAATCGCAAACCAGTCGAAAAGTGGTCGAAAAGCCCCTTTTTTGTATGAAGTTATGACGGATTCGATTTTCGATTCGATCATAAAGTGCGTTTTGTCTAGGGGGGCAGCAGAAATGTCATCAAAAATGGCCAACTGACATAAAAATATTTTTAGTCTGTGAACTAGTGATGCGACAAAACCTCTCGTTAAACTCGAAGTGAAATTATTGTAGTACTTGCGTATCATCGCCGGGTGATCGTCAAAATACTAAAAATATGCAACAAAATCGCAACATTGAATGTGATTGTGAACTGATTATGAAATTTTCGAGAACAGGAAACAAACTGTATGCACAGATGTAATCAAAAAACACACTGGACAGTAAAACAATCAATGATATCCGTAAAGTTATTAAACTTCAAATAGTTGCAAAAAGTTCTGTTTGACAGTGTTGCTACTAGTGATATGACATCTCGCTCGCTCAGTTCTTTGTTGCTCTATTCCGCTAGGGAGGTAATTTAAGATGCTATCAATTGAAAGAATATTTTTATTTTCTTTTATTTTATTTACTTATATAGGAAAATAAGCAATGGAACAATACGTAAGCATAATTGCATAAAAAAGTAAAATAATTTCGTTAAAATAAAACCGACTAAAATTAAACTGACTCCGAAAAAGTATACACTAAAAGTAGAAAAATAATTTTACGTTATCTCCAATATTGTCGAAGTTATCGCTGGAAAACTAAACAAAGTATCTTATATTTTTTTATTTAAAATTAATCAGTAATGGGAATAAGTGAATACTTAAAATAATATCGATTACTTTCGACTTTCTTATCGATTTACAGATTATTCTCTATGACTCACAGGTTACAGCACGATGTGTCAGAGACAAGTCATAGACAATATGGAGATAACCACAGATAAGGAGATAACACATGATTTTAAACGTCAAGTCAATTTGACAAGTCTCACACAAAATCACAGATTAGAGAGGTCTCTACTCTCTACACACAGATTAAGAGATAAATGCGAATTTTGTCAGGCAGACGCGGCAGACTTATATAGACCATCTTATTCTTCATTGCCCAGCCTTTAATTTGGAAAGGCTTTTGCTAGTGGATGGCTTACTGAAGATCTATCAAGAAGATGAAATATTCCCCGCCTCTTGCCATCCATACTAGCGAATGAGAAGTCATACCCACATATTTACCAGTACATTGTAAATACTCATATAAATTTATGAAGACATTTCAACATAGACACAGAAGAACAGAAATCCTCAACTCATAATCCATTGTAAATACTCAGAAAGTACTCATGGATGAAAATACTACTAGAAATGCCTCACTAAAGATTTGGCCGTAACGTAAGGATACTATCCGAAGTCGTTAAACCTGTTAGAAAAAAAAAAATCTGTGAGTCTCACATTTCCACAGATATGGATTAGAGTAGATACAGCAAGTTGATCGTCAAAGCGTGCCATTCCGATATGTCCAAATGGACATACATGGTCGAGTGATGTTCATGTAATCCGATTACAACAATCGGTTACGATGATTTTACGAGGACAGTAGTACGAACACAGTAGAAAGAAGAAATTATTTACGGATTGAGAATTGTAAATAACATCACAAGTAACAAATAATTAATTAGAATAAAGTAGCAGTAGAAGAAGTATAAAGTAGCATTGTTTTTAATACATATCCTGCGATGTACTCTTAAGAGTTAAAACCATATCCTGCGATGTACTCTTAAGAGTTAAAACCATGGTCCCTGTATGTGGTGCACTCATACCGATCCCAAGGAACCGTACTTACTCATAACAATAAGACACACACTGATGCATGTATTCATGCACTTGACAAATTTATGTCTTGAAACGCTGGTAGGGTAAAAAAAATAACGAGATTTGACGATTTGTAAGAATTAATTTATTTTAAAAAGGTAAATAAAGATGTTTTTGGTTTTGTATTTAACAAATTATCAGTTTTATCGGAATTAATTAATTTTCGAATCGAGTCACACGATATCATTCGATGACTTTGCAAATGCAATACGATGATACGATTACTTTTACGTTGCGGCAATCACTAAAATTCGCTAAAATGACACTAATGACGTTTAAAAAGTGGCACGCTCGGCTTCATACAATTTTTGACACATGCTGCATCTATCCATATCTGTGCACATTTCCTATGTATTACTTTTCTCTATGGTCTCACACAGTCTCACAAATTTTCATCGTCCACGTATTTTGCTAAAATAATTTGTTTCAAAGATTGATTTCAAACTTGTATAAACGTGAAAATGAAGTTGGTTTCATGGGCTTGTTAAATAATGTGTATGATATTATGAACACGTAAGTGATTATGGTGTAATTGTGTATGAAAGTGTTTGTTTACACCTCTGCTGGATTCTAAAAAATCAATCAAAAACAGTGTGTTTGGGATAGGGCTAGCAATAATTTAAGGCGATGTTCGATGTTGTGATGTCAATTTTATCGACAAAAATGCCCCCATATGTGGGTAAGACGGACACATAAGAAATACAAACAATTTTTATGTAGTCACATAAAAACACATTTTAAAAATTAAACCCCCCCATTCCAAGAAGAGGGGGGTAGGCCCACATATGGGGGCATTTTTGTCGATAAAATTGACATCACAACATCGCTTTAAATTATAGCTAGCCCTATCCAAAACACACTGTATAATAATATCATAGCATCATCCTATTTTACCACTTGCTAGTCGCGTTAAGGCGATTTTGTCGTAAAGAGGAAATATTAATCGTTAACAAGGTCACAAGAAAACTATAGGTAAGGTAGGGTAGGGGACATTATAACAGAAAATAAGTTATTTTTTTAACTATTAAGCAGCATTTTATTAACTTAATTACTTATTCACATTTTAATTAACTAATATTCTAATAATAACCCCGTTGTCTACTCTAAGATTCGCTTCACTGTTTTCATTTCTTTAAATATTTCAAATATTTCTTTGCATTAAAATTATCTTCTACATCATCTGTTATTTTAACTTTCTTCTTTGGCTTACGTTTTTCCAATCTGATCTTTCTTTGCTCTTCAGAGAGTAATGACAAATCCAGAGGTAACTGAAACAAAAAAAAAAATTTAAATATAGGGTTTCCTACAATATTTAATTAATAACTTTTGTATAGAAATGAAATTAATTTGGCGCATACCAATATCAGATACATATAGAAATTATTATGAAAGATTGTTTATTGGCTATTAATAAGATTGGTTATTATGAAAGCTTTATTTTAATCTAAGTTTATAGGTAAAGTATCTTTCTTATAAAATATTATGTGAGAATTAGTGGAAATGAATGGATTAAAGTTTTCACTTGTATTAACTAGGTACTGAAAGGATTTTATTGAAACTTGTATTTTACATCAGAATAACTTAAAGGCTATAATGGTATCACCAGTGTCGGATTTACATATTAGAATTTTACAGGGAGAGTTAAAAATCTAGAATCTAGCTAGATGAAGGCTACAGTACAGATTTTAAAAAATGCTTTGCTACATAAATTGTACCAATACCAACAAACTTTACTTACCTTTATTATTTTTCTAGGTTCATGATATCGAATATTAATTGAAGAACCATCAGCCAAAACCACTTTAGTAGGATACATTCTTGTGTAAATTTCTCGATGTATTTTAGTAACGCTAGCTACATTATTATTTAAGTAACGCTTTATACAATAATTTACAGCAAAATTTTTCTGACACAGTATTTGTCGTAAATTCATTCTGGCAAATAAACTTACAATTTCTAAATATTTCTGAAATGTAACCTAAAAAATCTGACAGATTTACCCACAGATTACCACAGATGAGACAGGCAGATTACTTATTAGAAACCAAGATTGTGTGCATAGAGAAAAGTAATATAGATGACCCACGCTGAACTGTCCCACCAAACTCAATGACAGGGGGGCGCTACCATCGTTCAACTACGTATATGGTTTCCAACATGGCAAAAATCTGAACCAGCGATCCGGTCAAGTAATCTGTGGATCCGGTATTGAGAATGTTACTAGGTATGCAAAATCACTTGAAACCTATGTTACAGTTAAGCTTTTACATTTACAAATACATTAGTTTTTATTTCATTCAAAAATACCCAGTAGTTATGATTTTATAGGCATTCAAAGTTCGCTTAAATATTGAGTCCCGCCGACGGTCACGTGACCCCGTGTGACGTACATTCACAGCGTCCGCTCACTAGAAAACGGATATAAACATACTTAAATACAGTGTGAGTCACGTTAAAGTGTATATATGAAAATAGATAAAACTAGACCTGTTTTTATCGACAAAAAAGAGGTCAAAAAATTTTTGAGATTTTTTTTTAATTTTTTATAGAATTTTTTTTCTTCCAATTACTTAATGTAAAGAAAACGTAATAACTTTTAAACTAAGCGGTATATCCTAATAAAATAAAAACAGTAATAATGCTAAATAACAGGCGATACTAAAAAAATACATAAAATACACAAAAGAGGCCAAAAAATAATAAAAAATTATACTTTTTGAAAAAAATCTGCTTAAAAATTCGTGTTTTTTTGGTTATTTGATAAATTTCTCCAAAAAATGCCCCTATAACTGGTGGTTTTTATTACTTTGTATTATTCTCTATCGTATTACCTTCGTAAAACCAAAAATCGCATGTCTCTATCCAAATTAAAATTGAACCAAACCCAAACTTGATGCGATTGTGTCGTTTTATTGCGAATTACCTTCCAGCTCCATCATTAGACCCCGATTACTATAAAGAATTAAATTACTCATCAATACAAAACGAACGAGCCCAAACTCGATGCATTTAAGTCGTTTTATTATAGAGTTCCTATGGCCACCTTCCAGCTCCATCATCAGATCAGCTCCATGTCATCATAATATTGCATGGTCATCCAAATCACATGTGTTTGCGAAATTTCAGCTTAATCGGTTGCCTGGAAGTGGGTCTTAATTCAGTTTGCAAGATTCCACCCATACAAATATGAGCCAGTCGTTGTAATATGACGTCACGCGCATAAAATGGCGGGCCGGCCGCCGCCCGCACTTTTAAAATTCAATATCTTGGAAACTAATTAACGTATCGAAATAATTCTTTCACGTGTATTTTTAATTTTTAACAGAGAATACAGAAAGCTAAAAAACAAAATTAGTGAACATTCTTCATTGACGGTGGCGCCCATAGCACGATGATTGGACAATAGTATCACCAAAACATTGTTCTTTTAATTTTCCTGTCTCTTTATTGGTCAGTCGATTTTACTTGATTTTGATACTTGACATTGGCTAAACAAATTGTATTCAAAGGGTTTCCACCACTCACGCAGCATTTGGACCTCACGTCTACGTATTGCCATCTGGCGGATTTTTCATACGCGAAAACCCTCATTGGATCAAATGATTGTCAAAACCAAAGATATTGAAAGTAATGGAGTGATTCTTATCTCTATTAGTTGGTCGCACGCACACGGCCCCGATCGCGCTAATAATTTGATAGGCCTCCTCCCTCAATGCTTTCCATGTTGATCGATTGGTAGCGGCTAGCGGCCTACGTCCAGCCAACCCACCTGCCAAGCGTGGCAAGTATCGGCAATAATCCCCTTAATTGCACATCAGGTGAAATGAAAATGCAGTGTGGACTAGAGATGAAACGCGAATAAATTGGAGACATTACAAATTAATTAGCGTAGGGGCCCTGTGCCCCGATTTCGCTAATTTTTAACGTCTCCAATTTATTGGCTGAGCTGAGGTGCAAATTCGGTATCGCGGTAAAGTGCGCAAACAAAGACGAAACAACGAATATAATCACTTTCCAATAAAAGTCCAGACATCTTAATTTTTCACTAAAACACAGCAACACACAAATGTTTGTGAAGGCGTTTGACTTGAGTTTGAGAAAAAGTAGATTTCTTTAAGTACCTATTTTCTTTCTTTCAGCTTTTACACTAAGAAGCAGTTGCGTTTTGTTTGTTTTCGTTTGAACTAGCTGTCAAAGCGAATACCGCGATACGAATTTATGATTTTCGTTCGTCGTCTAGTCGCGTTGTATACCTAGTTGAAAATATTTAGCGCAATCGGCAAATGATTGCTTATATTGCGGCCATATTCTTTTCCCAAATCGTGTATATTTACAACACACGTTTATATTGTAAGTGTGCCCGGTCCATATTAAATACGTCAATGTCGGTGTGTGACAGTGGCATCGCTATATTCATTGTTTTTGTCAAGCAAGTTGTGCTTGTTCTGTGTTTGGTGCTGTGGTTTTGATAAATTTGTTGCTGTGCACGAACGTGTTTACCCAGTTTCTAAGTAAGTAAAAACGAAATTATTTTATTCATATTTTTATGTACTTTCGTCTTTAACCTATGTACTAATTTAGTCAAGTGGAACCTAACTTTACATGGCATTCATGGCAATGAAAAGATCGGCTTGAGATTGTTTAATTATTTAATTAAACATTAATAATCACCATTAATTTCAGTTAAATATTCATATATAAACGACACGATTATATAAATGATATCACTTTGCTGAAATGGGGTGTGCACACAGCGAAATATCTCCGCAAAATGAAGCGCCCAAAAAAGGATGCACGGATGTGCTTTGGCTGATAATTTATATTCTCTTTTGGATTTTAATGGTTGGTACCTTTTTATACTTATATAGGTTTTTGATACATTGTAAATAATTTCTAATTCTTTATAAATACAACATATTACTTTCACAATCACAGACTGTTTATTTGTTTTCTTTATCTCAATTGGAATGAGTTTAAGTACTTATTTAACACAGTTCTTCTCTTCTGCCATTGTATGCTAAATAATATTCAATTAAATAATGTAAAATGTTTTCTGGAAGTACCTAATTGGAAAACTAAAAAAATACTCTTTACATTCAACATCAATCTTCTTTCTTATTCTGTAGGTATCTGAAGCTATTGTATCACTTGTTTTTTAGATAATAGTGGCAGCTGTATCATTTGTTTATGGAAACCCTCAAAGGTTGATAAATGGATATGACTCTTTTGGCAATACATGTGGAGTCAAGACAAATAAGAAACTCATCAATTTCCCACTGGCGGGAATAAGCACGATTGACAAGAACTATTTGTTTTTTATGGATATAAAAGAATTACGAAGATCTCTGAAGATATGTGTAAAGCAATGCCCTGATAAGAAACTGGAATCACTGAATGACATTCAACAGTTTTATAGAGACACTGGATCCAACCTTTGCAGATATGATATCAATTTAAATAATGTAACAAGTTCAAAAGATCTTCACAAGTTCATTGGTCCATGCCCCTCTTTACCAGTTTATAAGTCCTTTCCCCTGCTTAACCGATGTTTTCCAAAGTCGGCACAGGAATTGGCAGACAGAGTATTCAAAGATTTTTCTGAATTGCTGAACAGCTGGGACAGTGTAGAACAGATGTTATCAGATCTCTACTCTTCTTGGAAGGAAATGATAATATGTGTAATAATAGCTTTCAGTAAGTACAACAAACTTTTAAAATAAGTTGTTAGTTCTTTAGTTTTTTATCTGTAAATAATAATGTGACCAGTCAACATGTGACAGTATTACCTCTTTATCAGTCAGTTATAAAAAGGAAATAATAAACTAGCTAACTTATTTAGCTTTTAATTAAACTATCCATACATTCATTAAACTTAACATTTGATTAATGATCAACCTTGTGTTTAAACATTCACTGGAATTTTAAACCTTGATGTGAATTTTCACCAAGGTTAAAACAATTTTAAGCTCACCTTAACAATAAAACGGCTAAGCAAAATTAGTATCATAGTGTGGGAGGGTTCTATGTAATCAGTCTGAGTGGCTGACTGACTCATAACAATGAGGGGATGATGTCATTATTCCAACATGAACATAAAGGGTATTTTGTTGTGTGTCAATTTACTAATTAGTTCAACATCTATGACTAAGAAACAATGAAATTAGAAATTGTCCATGAAAATCGATTTAAAAAGGACACGCTAAGGGCGCCTTCACATGAACGATTTCTCGTCGGAACGAAATCGCGGCGGGGTTTTTGCGATATCGCTGCGATTTTTTTGGCACGGTTGAGTAGCAAAGGTTAGTCGAGTAGAACAGAGTCATACTCGCAGTACCTACTCTCACTGATATTATATTTACAAAACACGTAAGACGTCACCGCGACAAACGTAGGTATACAGATTCAAATCTTTACTTGTGTGATGACCTCAACTCTCGTTGTACGACTCACCTACCTATTTTCTGCCACTATACTAGTAAATGTTTCTTTTCCAGTATGTTCCCTGATTATGGTGTCAATACTTCATTTACTTGCGACATTTGTGTCTTGGATATTCATGATCGTAGTATCCATAGTAAGCGTAGCTGGCACAGCACTCTTATGGGTGACTTACATCGAGTTGAAAAACAAACAACTTGACTTTTCTGAAACCCATTACTTGGCGGTAAGCAGATTTTTTTAGATTTTCAAATGGAGAATTAAATAAATGACCTAGTTCAACCTTTAGTAACCATGAGTTTGTGTTTTCAGGAAGCATTCAAAAATGAAAAGGCGTTCATGTGGTATTCTATTATTGCTACCATAATAACTGTAAGTGCCTTCGGTTTTAATATGAACTACTACAATGAGGGCTATCGTTTTTATACTTAACAGTTGGCACCCCTGGCGATTGACAGGACCTTACTCTACAGTGGCGCCATCTTGATGAGTGCAAATGCGATAGTCCTCCTACCACTTTAGCGCTCACCAGTTGGTGCGACTGTCTTCGCTACTAGCAAGTGACAGGACCTTACTCTACAGTGGCGCTAACTGGTAAGCGCTAAAACGATAACCCTCATTGAATTTGAACTTCTAAATATAGAATTTTCTGATATTTGTTTTTAAATATGTACCTAATAGTCTTTGGATCGATCGAAGAATTTTCGGATAGATCCAGTTTATTCCGTAAGCTATTATTAGTACTGTTTGAAGGAGCTCGTGAAGCACTTTCAGGATCAGTAACCAGTTTTTCGATAACTTGTATATTTTAGAAATAATCGAGTGAGATCACTTATCGATTATATCGATATTCCACCCTGTATACGCGCATGGTTGCTTACGCCCCGGGTGACCTCAAGTTCGTCTCGTGCAGCTGATCCTCCTGGTCCTGGTGTTCGTGATGCGTTCGCGCGTGTCCTTCCTGGCGGCGCTGTTCCGAGAGACGGCGCACTGTCTGGGCGCCATCCCGGCGCTGTTCCTGCAGCCGATCATCACGTTCGTGTTCTTAGTGCTGTTCTTCGCGTTTTGGTCGTTGGTCGTGGTAATGTATGATTTTATATTTTACTATAGTCCGGTCGCCAAGCACATAGAATTTCGTCCAATGACCCCAAGCTACCCATCCTTAATCGCTCGCGCGTAATTATATTGCTGTCGCGCTCGCACACTCACTGCTGCCGACCGTCGCACAGTTGCTACGTCAAATTCTACGTGCTCGGCGACCAGACTTTAGCTTTCCTCCCGCGGCTTCGCCTGTGTGTTATTTTTTCTGACACAGAAAACGTTATCGCATACGTCCCTGTTTCAAAAATCGCGCCGGAATAAAAACCATCCTGTGTCCTTATCAAGACTCAAACTATCTGCCAAATTTAATCAAAATCAGTTCAGTGGTTTAGGTGTGAAAGCGAGACAGACAGACAGTTACTTTCGCATTTATAATATTAATAAGGATTTTGTAATATCCCACAGTGTTCATGAAACGTTGGATACATGTTGGGATTTATGAAGTGACTTAAATGCGACGCAAAATGTTGCGAAAGTAATGTCTCGTACTCAATTCTTGGATTAAGCATATTTTATTCATTGTGTTTCTCATGATCTGAAATATTCTTATTGTAAGTGGTTGACTAGTGGGCATTGATTAATACTTAATGATGTTTAACAGAACAGTAGCAAACATTATGTATGAGTAACTTAATATACAAATTTCATCAATCATCATCATCAAAGCAATCCACCTTACACTGTCAGAACATTAATAAATTCGTAATTCTTTTAATATCGTGACTGATATTCCATTCATACATTCCAGGTGTGCTTGGCAACAGCAAATTACCCAGGAATACCTTACAAAACCAACTTTTTCATCAATGGAACACCTATGGCTGATCACGTTGATAATGCAGCTATTCAATCTCAGAATATCAACAAGAGTGCTAGTTTGAAAAGTAAGTGTCATTCAACTTTTGACCCTATTATAACGGTAATAAGTACTTACAGTGCTATTATGGATATTGTTTCTATGATAAAACGCAATCCACTTTTGCTGTAGGACAAGCCTGGTTAATATACTTTTTGCTCTATTTACAGCTTTCACTTTGGATTCAGTTGAGTTTGATCCAATGTGGGTGAAAAGTATGTGGTGGATTTGCTTCATCTGTCTAATATGGGGAAGCGAGTTTATTCTGGGTTGTCAACAGATGACCATAGCGGGCGCCGTTTCACATTGGTATTTTAGGTAGGTTTTATTTAGTGAATAAAGTTATTTAAAAAATAAATAACTTCTTCCTTCTGAAATATGGGCGGAGTTGCGTATGCGTATTTGGTGCCTCCTCCCGAATGACACATTATGGCTCGGCTCGCGGCGACGAATTTGCCTCAGGGCGCGGTGTGGCGTAGATTCAGGCAACGTCCCCACTTGTTCTGTCTCTAATGGATACGCGGCATATTAAACCGGATCTCAAATGGAGACGCTGCCTCAACCTGAGTTACGACTCGTTGCGAGGCAAATTTCGTCGCTGCGGACGGTGCCTCATTCTGTCGCTCGGGACGAGCCTCTAGTCTGCCTCTAAAGTCCGGTCGCACAGTCGCGACAGCAATATACGCGCGATCGAGAAGGATGGGTAGCTTGGGGTCATTGGATAAAATTCTACATGCTCGGCGACCGGACTTTAGTGGATACGCGGCTTTATGAGTGACTGACTACATTATATCTGTGTTTCTCTTGCAGAGGTCCCAATGCTCACTCTCCGGTGCTGTATTCCATTGGCAAACTCATCAAATACCACTTGGGCTCTGTCGCTAAGGGCTCCTTTTTGATAACGCTGTTCAAAATTCCGCGCCTTATTCTCACATATTTACATGCAAAGTAAGTAGTTATAAAACATAAAATACGAAGATTTATTTTAACGTTTGCTGTTAAATAATATATTTTTCCTAACCCTGTACAGTGTACGTGTATGTATACTATCTATCAGACTATCTGTCCAGAAAAAAGGTGATTCAGAATTTCAGAAGTATCCAATAAATTAATTGATTAAGGTGATTGTATCTTAGGCTGGGTTCCCACTATGCCGGACCGGCATTTCTGCCGGAAACCGGACATCGGATTCGAAATCCGAGCCGAATGAAGTGCGGGGAGCACGGGCGGGGCGGGGCGGGAAGCGCGGGCGCGGCGGGGTGGGCCGCAACTCGTTCACATTACTCCGGTCCGGTGATTTCGCCGGCATTTTGTAGCGACAAAACGCTCGGTAAAAATGCCGGATCCGGGATAATGTGAACAGCTTCATACAATTTGTACCGCCGCTAGGCCTTCCGGCGATTTTACCGGACCGGGAGATCTGCCGGTCCGGCATAGTGGGAACCCGGCCTTATGCCCGTTTTCACCATCAATCCCTGATTTTTAAGTGACTCCTATTAAAACCAAATTCCTGTTAAGTGTTCCCATAGGGGTCACTTAAAAATTAGGGATTGATAGTGAAAACGGGCATTAGTCTCCTAGATTTTTAAAGTGAACCTTACTACGTTTTTTTGAGTTCTGGTTCTTGTCTTCATGGTGATTTTAAAACTTTTCCAACAGGTTATCTGCTAGTGCTGATAAAGGATCAAACTGCGCAAAGTGCGGCCTCAAATGCGGTATTTGCTGCTTCTACTGCCTTGAGAAGTTCATCCGTTACTTGAACCATAACGCTTACACTATCATCACTATTGAAAGGGTTCACTTCTGTAAGGCTGCAGCCAAGGTATGTATTGAAACATGAGTTTAGTTTTAGTGGGAACAAGAGCTGATAAATTAGTCCCGTAATCTCGTTACACGTCTAACGTTTCCTAGTAGCCACATAGCTGTGAAGTTCCGTTTGAGTAGGACTATGCCAACAACTCCAATCAACCAATAAAGGACAAGTTTTGTTTTGTCATCTGTGTAGCTAGCACGAAAAACTTTCCTCTTTGAATCGTTTGCGTGTTTGACAAAATTCGATACCCAGCCTTCGAATTTAACGATAATGTGACGATCTCGACTATTAAAATTAGTTTCGTCTACCATTTCTCATACTGAGTTCACTTCAGGCGCTGTTTAAGTTTTCATACAACCGCCCGTATTCACAAACGATGCTTGCTTAAGTGAAGCAGCAAATCGAGCGCACAGCGTTGAATAGAGATCTGTGATTGGTTCGTGTGTCACCCTGTACGTGCACGCACACTGTGAGACCTCATAGTAATGTTTGTGAATACGGGCGTAAATCTTTTGATGGCGATTCGAATACATACGTCAACGATTCGAAGTACTGTATCCGTTTTGCACTAAATGACTAAAGGGAAGGCAAACCCTAACTTCGAAATACGTCTCCTATGTTCTTCTGATTAATTTCTTTGCGAGTCCAATGATAGTTTCCCCGGGACAGACATTGATCTTCACTGGTTAGTTTTTATTGGCGGTCTTCTCATAGATGTCGTAAGAGGCGACTAAGGGCTAAAATGAGTCCTCATTCTCAACCTGCCAGTGTGGCGAGCCAAATTGTCATTCTAATAAAGGAAAGGGTTGTTTTCTTGCAGTGGAGAGGCGACTAACGCCCGATTCCCATATTCAATCCTTGTCCAAATCCGGATTACAACTGTCAAATTGAATTCAGTTTTAGATTATATTTCCAAAATTTTCGATGCATTTACACTTTAATATTGTTTAAATAGTCTTATAAACAATATAAAAATGTAAAAACATCAAAAACCGCAGTTATTTTGCCCAAAAACATATTAAAATTTGACAGTTGACAATCAAAATCCGTATAATTTGGATTAGGATTGAATATAGAAATCCAGCATAAATGGCCTGAAGATGAGATGATCATAATGATGGGACTACAAACTTTTCCAGGCGTTCAGCACGATAGTGAACAACGCTCTCCAAGTGGCCACCATCAACAGCGTGGGCGACTTCATCCTGTTCCTGGGCAAGTGCATCGTGACGGCCGTGACCGGGATCGTCGGCCTGCTGCTGCTCAAGCGTAACACCGATCTGCAGTTCTACGCAGTGCCTACACTGGTTATTTGCATCTACTCGTTCTTCATCGCGCACTGTATACTGTCTTTGTATGAGGTAAGATGTTTGTTCTGTTATTTCATTTAGTGAGGAATATTAATACATTGATTTTCTTGTATCGAGAGCAATAGTGCCAACATTCCAGATGGAATGAGATTCTCAAACACACGGTTGTATGAATCGACCAAAATGGTTTCGGATGGAGTCATGTGATATACAAAGCATTTGAATAATAACGAATAAAAGAAAATTTATTAATACATAGTATAAAGTTCTTACGTTATCATCATTCATCACACCGAATTGGAAATCGTATTGTAGTATAGCCTGACCAGGAACATAAAAACCCTCGCCATGTTGCGGAAAACTAATGGTACTAATTTCTTTTAATGGCAACAATAACTGAAAACTTCATTGACATGTCACCTTGCATGTCAGTCTATTGCTGTCAAAGTGTAAACAAACTTTATTTTAAATGTGCGCAATTGATTTTGTGAATTAAATTGCTAAAATCTTTTTATAGTCGTGAAAGAAAAGTGGTTCACAATGTGTTAAAGTATTTATCGAAGAGAAATACTAAGGGTTCGGACAATATTTTCATTGAATAATGTTTCCGACAAAGGTTGTCAAATTGACTGACATGTTTATCGTATAGTACAGTCCACTATGAAAATTAGCTGTGGTTTGTTTCAAATACCTATTTTAAAGTTTTTTGTCACTTTCTAAGTGTTGAATTTTATGGAATTGGGAAAGAAGTAAGGAGTTTGAAGCGTTCATGAGCAGACATTGCAGTTGAATATTCAAGTTCTGAATTTGATTATTGATGAATAATAAAATAAATCATACTAACTCGATTGATGGTTTCATTTAATTTATTTAAAGCAGGTTACCTATAATAATATTTTTTCGTTAATTTATGAAAATATCAAATTAGCCCGTAATTCTGAATCCTGATACATAAAGTTAGCCTATTAATTTAACACAGGTACGACTGTACTCAGTGTTGCACTATCAAATGCAATTGACGCGCCTCTATGCCAGGGTTTTTATGTTCCTGGTCAGGCTATAGCTACCTTTAATCACTAACTAATGACTAACTAATGAAGTCACCACAATTGCTATACAAAATCTACATTACGAGTCGTGTTTTGACCGCTCATAATTTAGTGTTGTCAAATTAAAACGTTGTTATTGACAACACCATCACCTTTCCAGATGGTTGTAGACTCGCTCTTCCTCTGCGTATGTGAAGACCGCAACATGAACGGTTCAGACGGGCGCTGGAAGAGCTCCCGCCTGGCCGAGCTGGGCGGCCACGCGCGCGGGGACCCGCCCCCCGGGCCCGAGCACCAGGAGCTGCAGGCCAAGTACTGAACTGGCTTTTAGAGATCGTAAAGTCCGGTCGCCGAGCTGATGGAACTTCGTCCAATGACCCCAAGCTACCCATCCTTATCGCTCGCGCGTAATTATATTGCTGTCGCGACTGTGCGACGGCCGGCCGCAGTGAGTGTGCGAGCTCGGCGATCGGACTTACGCACGTTTATAATGAAGTGTGGTAACTCTAAAATCTGGTTTTGGAGATTTTTGTCATCAAGAGCCAAGCACACGACGTGTTGCGGTGTTGCACCGCAAAGATTGCTGCGCTGCGCTTCATCGATCGTGTGCTTTGGCTCTTATAGTTTTTAACTAAAAACTTCAGTTTTACGAGATTTTTACCTTTACATTTATTGAGATTTTAAAATATTTTTTTAGAAAACTATGTTCTTTTAAGATAAAAGTTCGAATAACGGATTTTTTGTATTACTGCAGTTTGTTGTAAAACGTGTGGTAGAGTTCTTTTCTATTTCTGACTTGTATGTATGGTTGTGGTAAAAAATCACTGTCCTGATGCCCGATTTCACGTGATGCGGTCGAAAATAAACGAATATTCCTTTTTATAATAACACAAATACACTGATTGATACAGAAATGAAAAGAACTCAACATAAGGTTATTGTGATGGCATCCCAATGTGTTAATGTTAACTTGAAAATGTATTTCTGCTTAATTAATGGTTGAAATTGTATAGGGTTCCAAAGAAAACATTAACCAGTAATCAGACACATATCTAAATGAAATTAATATAATATTTAGTTATAATATCACCATAATAATAAATCATTAGAAAGTCAGTGAAATATCGTATGATCTTTGGAACCTTATTTAATTGCATGTTATGTGAATTGTTCTATTAAATTATTAATAATATTCCTTACTCGTAATGATATTAATGTTGTTTACAAGTTTTTAGATGGTGCCGCATCGTATTGTGTGGTTATGGCTTTATTGGTGTTGCGTAAGTGTAAGGTATAGTTTGTTTTAGTTGTCAGTGCATGCACAAGTTTATTCCGTCTGATATACATGTGTATTAGTTGGTTAGTGGATATAGTACAGTGTATGTTAGGCTGCATCAGCTATCTATCCAGTGCCTCGTTTGTGCCTTTGTATTAGCATCTATTGATACTTGCAATAAGGTAGCTGTAAAAACCAATGTAATGGGACTAACCTAATGCATGTTAATGTGGAAAACCAATACTATGGGAAATGATAGAAATATTATCAGTCAGAAGAATCATCATAGTAAAAGTGTTAAAGGACTTTAGCCACAACAACTATGATTATTATAATATTATAAAATAAGTAACTGAAGTCGACATTTATCACCTAATTGATATACAAGGGCAAGGGTGATCAAAGGATTCTTGAAGTGTCGCCTATGATCATCCTGTGGTTTGAGCCTGGTGATCAAAGTGGAATTGACCGATACGTACGATTACTTACGGAAATATAAAACGGTGCAGTGACTAGTCCTTGTATTTACTAACAGTCATTTGAGCATGTGAGTCCATCATATTATTGTATATGTAAAAGAAAATATTCTCAAATTTTACAGATAATCTCACAGTGCATCTTGGTACAACAACATCTGAAGAATATTTTAATATTATTTAAGTGATTATTGAAAAATAATTTTAGTGTCCTAATTAAATAATTTATTTTTATAAAACTCATAATTTTATCTCATAGTGCTTCTTGGTACAACGTCTGAAGAATATTTTTATAGATAGATTTTATTTAAGAGATCATTGCATAATAATTTTAAGTCTTATTTAAATCATTTATTGTTATACAAGTAAATAGGTAAGATTAGTATTATTGGTCTTTTGATATTGTTTTTATTTATACAGATTGTTTATACACTTTATACAAGACTTGATTGTTATTACGTAGTTTCTTAATGAAAACACAACATTAAAAATTAAACATTGTCGCACAAACTTTGTACTCATGGTTTAAAAATAAATTAATTAATCATAGTAATTTGTCGCCTGCTACAACGTTTATTAATTTAATTTATTGTCCGTGGTGCATAATCTTTTCTTAAAAGTTTTAAACCTTTGTTTGTCACCTGTCATCCGCTTTGCAATGGAGGGAAGTCGAACCTTAATTTCGAACTCCTCCTATGTTCTTCTGATTAATTTCGTTGCGGGTCCAATGACAGTTTAACTTTCCCCCGGGACAAACTTGACCTTCATTGGTTGGGTTTTTGTGGCGGTCAAGCTGTAGATCCTGGCTACACAGGAGTTGCAGTGGTGGGAACGAGAGGTGGGAATAGTCCCGTGCTACAACGTTTATATTATGATATCATCAAGAATTTATTTATAATCAAGCAAGACGTGCGAATTAATTGAGTTTAATGGATTTTATTAATTGTAAGGAAAACGAGAACAAAATGACGTGATTATAAAATAATTTTAGATCTGCAGCTTTTTTGGATCTATGTATTTTAAGTAAGTTTAAGATCTGCAGCTTTTTACAAAATGAGACTATGTATTAAAAAAATCAGATAGCATTTGAAATATCTTTAAGTTTATTTATCTAAATTAAATTTGACCACCCTGTGAAACATAGTACAAAATTTTTTACATTTTCTTTACAAAATGTGCAAGTACTGTTAAGTGTTATTTTTGTGAACCGTCCATTTTATTTAAAATCTAGTAAATTAAAATAAAAACTATATAAATCTCAATTTTGTTAAAGTTGGGTGTATTTTAATTATGTAGCACATTTTTAATTCAATCACTTGGTTAGTATAATCAAAATAATATGATAGTAGTTCCTCAAAATCTTTTTAATTTATTGAATTTTTCTTATACAGTATGAGTACATACTCTGATGAAATGTGATGCTGCGATTGTATCTTGCATGCTTTAAAATTATGCAGAATTTTTAATATCTTCCTCTACTTTATGTCTTACTTCCTTGAATGTTATTGCAATTCTGAATGTATTAAGGACTTACATGCTTTAACCCAATATAAGTCAAGTGATGCATAATAAGCTCAATTTAGTTCATGCAAAAAAAAAACAATCAATTATTATTTAACTTTACATCCATTGATATTAGTTTTAAATTATTATATCATTCCTTTATTCTACATACTTTTTTTGTCAGTTCTCTATGACGTGTTTTCAAATATAAATAAAACAATGAGTGTAAAAAACATGTTTTTATTTCAGAATCATTTTTGTTTGGGTTTAATCTTCTTTATTTGTTTCCTCTTCTTGATCTGGTCAGATATGGCTTTACTCTTGGCTTTCAGTTGTTTGCGTCTGATTGCCATATCTGGCTTGCTCTTGGATTTCTTCTTCATAGAGAAAGCCGGCCTCGGTGGTTGTACCTCACTGTCAGAGGCTGGCTCTTGATTTTCTTCTGTAAAATAATATTTATTGTCTTAGACATAAGCATTATAATAAATAAGTAAATCAAAATAAAAAATAGTTAATGGTTGAGCTTGAGTAGATTGACAAAGTTGAAAAAACCTTGTTTTAATTTAAACAAAGTGTAAAGATTTGTTTACCTTTCACTACTACTTCTTCTGCCTTCACAAGAGGATCTCCCTTGAAGAAGTCAGCACCTTCAATATCAGGATAGCCAGTTTCTGGCTTAGTTGCTTCATACACAACTTTCTTTTCAACTCTCCTTTCATATTTATTTGCAGCTTTCTTAGAATAAGCTTGTCTCAGTTTGGCTGGACTGATATATTTTGGGTTTTCCCACAGGGTTGTCCCTCCAAAGGACCCAGAAAATATTTTGACCTAAAATCAATATCGCAATGTATTACACCATTACAATAAATACATACTGAATACCTTTCTTGTATTGTGTAGAAACTTACTGGATTCAGCACAAATCTTGGGCCTATTTCAGCCAGGGCTCCATCTTCAGATAGAATTTGATAATTTCTAAACCAAATTCTATTGTCCAAAATCATAAATGTATAGATATGGTCAAAGAAGGGCTGGCTTTTAGGGTGGTGATTTGGCACCCCAAACGTCTGTGTGAGCAGTTCCTTCAGTAACATGTAATGCGGATCTTTAGTGAATTGTGGGTCAAATGACAGCAGTGGTCTTGACCCTCTCAGACAATTTCCAGTCATTTTAAGCTCCCCCATAGTATAAACTAGAAAGAAAGTAATAATAATTAATCATTAAATTGTGATGTTCTAATAAAGAACTAGTAAATAACATAAAAGAAAGCAATCTTCGATAATTACCATTTTCAACTAAAAATTTCACACAGGGACCATTAGGCACATTGGACATCCACATGTACAAGTCTCTCATTTTCCTTCCTTCAAAGAGTAAACATTTGTTACAGTTTTTCATTTCACTGATTTCATTAACAACATACAAGTTTTTGCTCCTTTCCATTTTTGATTCCGTCTTGTGGTGAGGCATAAGTTTCTTGATGTCTTCCATCACATGGCGGTGGCGGTGGTTAATGCCACGCGTCGCAAACACTAATACTCGTTGTCTGTTTATCCATTTTACCTAAAATATTATGAGTAAAACTTATATCATGGATGGAAATAAATAGTGTGGTTATCTCTAAACCTTAAAGAGCAATTTAACTAAATGTAATGGACAAGAGAATCTCACCCATGTTTTCGAGACAGAAATATAATAGCACTTACTTATTGTTTAAAAAAATAAATGAAAGGGTTAACGTGGTTACCTGTTTCGGCGTCGGTTCATCCGACATTCTCACAGGGGGTAAAGTAACTACATCTTCCACTTTTTTAGTTACAACTGCATCTTGCTGCTTTTTAGGCTTCTTAGACTTTATTTTGACCATATTTAAATATCTATGATACCTTTAAACTGAATAAAATGTGACACGTGTTTTTAACACAAATTTTAAAACATAATCTGACACTTTTTGCTCATCTGTGACTTTTTGAGGTTATGTTAATGTCACATTATTTTGACGTCTCATAAAGAATGACAGTAACGCATCATCGATATTAACGGTATTATTGGTATATTAACGATATACCGATATGCATTTTCTGTCTACCTACAGTCATGAGTTAATAACTCTATGCCTACAGTTTTGAGATGTTAAATTCATCAATATCGGTCAAGCTTTTTAGAATTGAATACAACAAACTTACGGAGTTAAATTAACTTTTGAAAATAATGGTAGATTCACAAGGAATAACAACTTAATTAGTGTACCTACGTTTATCTTTCTTATCATTTCGTAAACATTAATATATTTTTACACATTATTTAAACAAGTTGTCTAGAAGCGACAAGTAAAATGTTGAGTGTATTTAAAAAAATCTGTCTAATATCAGCAAAACCAAAAACACACACTTTTGAAATAATAAGAAGTGCATCACAAATACCGCAACTTTCTTCTGTAGGTAAGTTTAAAATTAATTAGATTTCGTTACCTACTTACTTACTTGAAACACTTGAAATCTTTATTTGAGCGCAGCGTCGACGAAATTGAAGTCATTTAATTATTAAGCTCTATGAAAAAATGAATTACTTAAATAAATAATCGAACTTAGTTAATTGTACCCACATAAATATTACGAACCAATAATATCTCTATAACAGGAAAAGTATGGTAATGTGAAGAGAAAAGATTTTTCTGCTGTGCAAGCAAACGACGTGAAGTTTTTTAGATCATGCCTTGGAGAAGATAGAGTTCTTACTGATGAAAATGAAGTTCTGCCTTTCAACATTGATTGGGCTAAAAATTGTAGAGGTAAGTACTTAGTTAACATTTAATTTTCAGACTGATCAAAATCCATAACTAATAATCAATAGGAACCCCATTGCGTATTGAATTACAGGTCAATCTAAAGTGGTTTTGAAACCGAAATCAACCCAAGAAGTTTCAAAGATACTTTCGTATTGTAATGAAAGACGACTAGCTGTTTGTCCTCAAGGCGGTAACACGGGCGTCGCTGGTGGTTCTGTCCCGGTGTTTGACGAAATTATATTGAACATGACGTTAATGAACAAAGTTATAAGCTTCGACGATATATCAGGTAACAATAACCGTATCATTAAATTACATAAGTATTAAACCTAAAGAACTTTTAACTTGCTGACTCTAATTAGGTACCTAGCTACCTACTAACTAACCGCGCATTCTTCGAGTATAAACAGAATAATGGTAGGTATTATTAATTTTTTCAGGTGCATTAGTTTGCGAAACAGGTTGCATATTAGAGAATTTAGATACTTATGTTCGCCAACACGGCTTAATCATGCCGTTGGACTTGGGAGCAAAAGGCTCATGCCATATCGGTGGCAACGTCAGCACCAATGCAGGAGGTCTACGTCTTCTGCGATATGGAAATTTGCACGGGTCTGTGCTTGGAATTGAAGCTGTGAGTGTCTTTAGGGACCTCTATGTTGATTTGTTAAAATTTGTTTTATTTACTTTACTAGCTTTTGCCCGCGGCTTCACCTGCGTGAAATTTAGTTTGTCACAGATCGTCATAAATTATAGCCTATGTGTTATTCTGGGTTATAAACAATAATACTGCAAAGTTTCATAAAAATCCGTTCCGTAGTTTTTGCGTGAAAGAGTAACAAACATCCAGACATCCACACAAACTTTCGCATTTATAATATTACATAACTAACTAGTAGGATGTAAGTATAATTTTATTGTGAGGAGATAACAAATCGCGTAACTGCAGAAACCTCGTTGGAGAGTTGATAATAGCATTGGCCTCCAATGGTTTGATGTTTGACGGAATAGATAACTACTTATAACATTCCGTCACGTTTTCTTCAATAATCCTATGTTAGGTAAGTAGGCTAATAAATAAACAATGATCAGAGCCCCGATTACGGTAACTTTTAACGTCTACAATCCAGACACGCTTCTCGATTCTGCGATACGATTGGTCGTTCAACAGCGTACGTCAGCTGTTTTGACCAATCGTATCGCAGAATCAAAAACGCGTCTGGATTGGAAACGTTAAAAATTACCGTAATCGGGGCTCAGTAAATAGATCCCTGTTTAGNGTATCGCAGAATCAAAAACGCGTCTGGATTGGAAACGTTAAAAATTACCGTAATCGGGGCTCAGTAAATAGATCCCTGTTTAGCGGATTACTAATGTTTGGCCAAAAAACGTTTCCCAAATTATCACATCGCAAACAACGTTTCGCAAATTTTCATTTGGCAAATTCTCATTTGGCAAAACAACTTATTGCAAACTTTTAATTCGCAAATGTCGTTTTTGGCATATTATTGTTTAGCAAATTATTGTTTGGCAAAGTATGTTTTGCCAAATGTTTCATTTGGCAAAAATATTTCACGATAAACTATTTACAAAACAATTTGATTGGTGCATAGAATGGAATACAAATTAGCTTGTGGTTATTATTTTGTTTAGTGGGTAGTTAATATAATTTTTTTTCTAAATAAATTTTCATATTTCATTCTTTTTGTCGAAATTTCCAAATGATTCATTAACAATAGAGATGATTCTAGCGCTCGGCGGCCGCTGCNATAATTAAACAAATGAAATGTGAATCCGGCAACCTACCGGCAACGGAACTATCTCTATGAATGAAAGCTTCAGCAAGATTGAACAAGATGGCGTTGCAAATGTTGCCATAAATTATGAATAAATAAAAAAACAAGTAATTTATTCGATACGATATCTGTCAAAAGTACTTGGTAAGTAAAAGTATCGAATACAAGTTATCGAGTACAAAAGTATCGGTATCGAAAAGAAACCTACTCGATACCATAAAGTATCGATACTTTTTTCGTGTCCCTAGTTATGGGCCCAGGGCACTGGATCTACAAAATAAACACAATATTTTTGCACCAGAATTGAAAATCACGGATTTTTTCGATATTTTCAACGTAACCTCTAAAGATGGCTGGAAATACTTCTTTTGCATCAAACATCGAAAAGCTAAAAGGGGCCGAAAATTATTCGTCTTGGAAATTTATCATGAAAATGATACTCGTTCACGAAGACCTCTGGGAAACTATCGATGGTGAGGAAAAACCTGCGCAGAAGGCATTGGCGAGAATTTGTCTATCGGTACAAGCGAGTGCATTTCCTCATGTCAGGAACGCTAAGGATGCTCGTGAGGCATGGAATAACCTCAGCAAGGCATATGAGGATAAAGGGCTATCCCGAAGATTGGGATTGTTGAGGACACTCTTTAGTACCAAACTGACAGAGTTTAGCAGCATGGAAAGCTACGTGGGCAAGCTTCAGGAATTGTCACAACAACTGAGCGACATAAATTCACCCCTGGATGATGAGGTCTTAGCTGTCATCATACTCAGCGGATTACCAACCAACTATGATCCGCTTATAATGGCACTTGAGAATTCAAGTTTGAAGCTGACAAGTGACATGTTCAAAAGTAAACTATTACAAGAATATGACCGCAGGAACAATACTGAAGAAACGACGGCCTTTGCGACAACCAGGAAAGCACCAAAATGCTACAAATGCAAGAAGACTGGACATTTTATTAGGAATTGCCCGAGGAATAATACAAAGAAGCCAGAGAATGACAAGAAGTCTGACAAGGACAAATCTGGAAAGGATTCATCGAAGGCTCTCTTGACGGCTCTCTCGGCAAGCATTCAGTGCAATGTGTGGTATGTGGATAGTGGTGCGTCACATCATATGTGCAACAATCGCGAACTTTTTAGTGATTTTTAAGGAACAAAATCCGTCGCAAGTGAGTGTTGCAAATGGTGAAAAATTAGTAACTGCCGGGCAGGGTAATGTGTGGGCAAAACTGAAAGACTGTGAGAGACTAATAAAAGACGTTTCTTATGTGCCTAATCTTTCAGCGAATTTACTCTCTGTTAGTTCTCTAGTGAAGAAGGGTTATAAAGTGGTTTTTAGTAAACAGAAATGTATAATATCAGATGATAATGATGTTTTGGCAACGGCCACTCTTAGGAATAATATCTATCAACTTGATGTCATTGATCAGCCTTTGTGNTGTTTAGCACTGACCGCGCTCGCGCGCACTCTTTCGCAATTTCTCATGATTCTGTTTTAAGGTAAGAGCCGATGGAACTGTAATAGATTGTTTAAAAACTTTGAAGAAAGACAACACTGGGTACCATCTCAAACACCTGTTTATAGGCTCAGAAGGGACTTTAGGCGTTATAACAAAAGTGGCCATACATTGCCCGGCTAAGTCTGAGTCTGTAACACTTTGCTATTTTGGTATGTTTTGTTCTATTTTCTTAAAATTGTTTAAATTGGACTTGTCCATGAGCCTTCTTTTGTTTTATTTTATAGGGGTACAAAATTTCGAAAACGTTCTTCAGCTGTACAAGAGCGCTAAATTATCATTAGGGGAAATTATGTCGGCCTTTGAAATGGCCGATTTCGAATCAATCAACAGCACATCGAAGATCCTCAATTTACCGTAGTATCCGCCAAAATTAATTATTATTATAAATTACTAAAAACATCTAAGAATAGAAGGATGCTCAATCTATTTACTTTTTATAGAAATCCGATCCCAGACTTTCCGTTCTACGTTATTCTGGAAACGCACGGTAGCGACGAAAACCACGACAAAGAGAAAGTAAACAGATTCCTCACCAATGAAATGAAAAATGGTTTAATTCTGGATGGAACTGTTGTTTCAGAGCCTTCAAAGATGCAGGTATGTTAAAATAGTAGGAACAATTTGAAAACAACTTTGCGACATTTCTTTACATCGCGCGTATTCGAACATGGACAATCTTAACTATATTACTTTGATGGTTTTTGATTTTACTTTGGTTTAATCTTATTTGTAGGCAATCTGGAACATCCGAGAAAATATAGCACCAGCTGGCAATATTGACACATATCTCTTTACATACGATGTGTCTTTGCCGATAAATCACTATTACGAGATAATACCAAAATTACGGAAAAGACTCGGGGATAAGGTCAATTTTGTCTGTGGTTTTGGTCATATTGGTAAGTTAGATAATTTAACAATCAAGTAATAACGGGATAGTGGTCTTGAATAAACCACAACATTTTCTATTAGATTTCAGAGTAGGTACCTACTTACCTAGTTGGTTGCCTATCAATCTGTCAATACTACGTTACTAATCAGACGCAAGATAGTTTCCCTGTCTAATAAAATTATTAAAAACTATTTTTTCCCAGGTGATGGCAACCTTCACATTAACGTAGTGTTGCCCGAATACAACGAAGAAGTAGCCGCGCTTCTAGAGCCCTACGTGTACGAGCAGGTGGCGGCGCTGCAGGGCTCCATCAGCGCCGAACACGGCATTGGCTTCCGCAAGTCGCACTACATTCACTACAGCAAGGATGAATCCGCGCTGCGCCTCATGAGGGACCTAAAGACGCTCATGGACCCCAACGGAATCCTCAATCCATATAAAGTCTTGCCAGATGAATAAAATAATGCATTTTTTGTTTCAAGTATGTCTGGTTCTCTTCTGTATGGATAGCAATAAACGCGATTTGTATAAAAAAAAATACCGATGATGATGGTGATTAAATTAGACAGTAAATTAATAAATCTTTATTTTACAAAAGTAGGTATTGCTTATTTCCATGAAATCTCTGACTCTGTGCTGCTCTTCGTCCAAGGTGCTGCTAGACTCGACGTGACTTTCTGATGTGACATTAGGTCAGCGCAGCGTCCTCTTCCGGTTTTCACAATTTCCGTTTCCGTTTTTGTTACTTTTTCATGCACTTCATTCGTATTTTATTTTCATGTAAGTATTACAGAGCAAAAAAAAGTATGTAAGTAAGTAGGTAGGTGGTAAGTAGGTACAGTTGTTAACTGGATCACGTCATTCACAGAGCACATAACATAAACAAATTGGATCTAGATAAATTCTAGATAACATCCTACATTTACCGAAGCACAGGTAAAACAGATAAGAAGGTAACAGCAATTGTGAACTATTATACTATATCACTTAAATGAATATTTATTTTAAAATTCATGTTTCTATGAATCTAACTGCCTAGGACAAAACGTTACTCAGCAGGCAGGCTCCTCCGCGATTCTTATACCTACTTAATTAATTTATTCTTTCATTATTGCTTGAGGATCAAAATGATATTATTATTTATCTAACTAAAGAAATATTGGAAAGTACCCAGCTATCTATTTCTAGTAAATAATTCGCCCTCTGCAAGCAACACAGACAGCTTATCATAGCGATAGGTTACGTAACGCCCGCGCGGCCGCGTCATGACGTAGGACGTTTCAACATTTGGTACGCGATTCTGAACTTTAGGTAGTCGACAGCCGGTTGTTGTAAGCAAGAAACGTATCATGTTGAATACGATCAGACAAATTGTATTGTGCGCAAACAAACGACATGTTTTGGAACAAATTAGATGTGCTTCACAAGCATTGCCACAACTTTCAGCTGTAAGTATTGAAATACATCGTACTCGTACCTAAATGAATTTTAATTCGTAGCTCTTATTTATTACCTACTTACAACTGGCCGGGTATTAAAATTATTGTTCCTAGTTTAGTTTTAAACAAATCGATGTCTTTATACTTTAATGATGATCTTTCTTGTAATTTATACAGCTTAGGGTGGAATAGTTTGCCGTACTTATTTACGCGATCCCATTGCTTAGTGTAATAATACCGGGTGTTTTAATTTTCCAAATAAATAATTGTTTGGCACTTTTGTCACCTAGGAAATGTATTTTTATCAAAGATCTAAAACTGATTGTGAGATAGAATTGGGATCACCCTCAACTTTTATTTTCCGGTATTATGGGGTCACGCGTGAATTTAAAAAGCATTCAAAAGAATCTAAATTACCTAAGTCTCTACTCTACAGTTTAAATTAGTTTTTAATATTTTTAGGAAAAATATAATGTTAAAAGGAAAGCCTTTGCAACAGTGCAGAGTACAGATGTTGACTATTTCAAGTCGATCCTGGGAAATGAGAGGGTGCTGACCGATGATAACGATGTTACGCCATTTAACATCGATTGGATAAAGAATTGCCGAGGTAAAGTTAACAAAATTCTTGTAAAACATTAATAAATTAACAATAAATTGATGGCAGATCATATAATTGAAGGATTTCAAATATTTAGGACAATCGAAAGTGGTTTTGAAGCCAAAGACAACAAAAGAGGTTTCACAAATCCTATCATACTGCAATCAGAGGAAGCTGGCGGTATGTCCTCAAGGTGGAAACACAGGTCTCGTCGGCGGATCGGTCCCAGTTTTCGATGAAATTGTAGTCAACTTAATGCTAATGAATAGTATAGTCACGTTGGATGAAATATCGGGTAAGAAATATAACTCATTTTTATTCTTCTATAGATTAGATTCGGATACTAGGTAGGTATTTGGAAATGCTTGAGAAACTTTTAAACTAAAACAGAACAATGACTTGCATTGTTAATTCGGTACAGACAGACATCATTAATATTTAACAGGCGCGTTAATCTGCGAGGCGGGATGTATCCTGGAAACTCTGGACAACCACGTGCGCGAGCGCAACCTGATCATGCCATTGGACCTGGGAGCCAAAGGCACGTGTCAGGTGGGCGGCAACGTCAGCACCAACGCCGGCGGGCTTCGACTCCTGCGCTACGGAAATCTACATGGCTCTATATTGGGATTAGAAGCTGTAGGTATTCGAAATTAACGTTTTTAACAACAATTTTTGAATTCAACCGACTTCCAAAGCAAAAAGTACCGGTGATTATAGGTTTTTTTTTACCTTAGGTAAAAGCAGATGGTACAATCATAGATTGCCTCAAAACACTGAAAAAAGACAACACAGGATACCACTTGAAGCATTTATTTATTGGTTCCGAGGGCACATTGGGTATGGTCACGAAAGTTGCAATACACTGCCCTGTTTTGCCCAAGGCTGTGACTGTTGGATTTTTTGGTAAGCAAGTTCCTTTTTAATGACGATTAAAAACATTAATAAGCATTTAAGCTGACAGATGAGCCTAGCCTACTTACGTCCGATCAACATAACCACCCGGTTCCGTTTATTGATTAAGTAAGTCATCAATAGGTACATACGTAATGGTTGCGCGATTCCTTTTACAGGTGTAAAAAGTTTCGATAATATTCTGAAATTATACAAGAGTGCCAAATCATCATTAGGAGAAATTCTGTCTGCGTTTGAAATGGCAGACCACGACGCTATTTCTATTACAGTCAAAAATCTCAATCTGCCGTAAGTTTCACGAAATTTTAGTTTTATGCATGATTTATCAATCAGGTTTGAAAATAACGGACTTTTTGTAATAGAAACCCAATATCAGAATACCCGTTCTACGTGTTGGTGGAAACGCACGGAAGTGATGAAGGGCATGATGGTGAGAAACTCACACGATTCCTGTCGAAAGAAATGGAAAGTGGTCTAATATTAGATGGCACTGTTACGTCTGAACCGGGCAAGATGCAGGTAATATGCGCTATGCTGAAGAACAAAAAAGTTAGTTTCGTTTTTAATTTTTATAATTTATTGTTATTTTCGGCCTGTTACAGACGATATGGAATCTCAGAGAGAGCATAGCTGGCGCTGGTCTGGTTCAGGGATACGTGTTCAAGTATGACGTGTCTATTCCCCAGAAGCATTATTACGATTTAGTGCCGAAACTAAAAGAACGCATGGGCGACAAGGCAACCGTTGTGTGTGGCTATGGACACGTGGGTAAGTCACAAAGCTTAAATGTGCTTCATATAAATACATATTCTATTTAAGACGATTGGTTTAAGCAATAGCCACAACGGTGATTACATACATGTACTTTCGGCCACCAGTTTCAGCTACTTTTCCATACTTTCTCTCCCTCTCATCAAATTGTGATTCTTAACGAGACGATAATTATGACAGGAAATGGGTAGCTGGAACTGTGGCCGATAGTACGTAAAGTCGAATCGTCTTGAAACTAAGCATAGTTTGTCTTACTGAATAGGAAGTTGAAATAAGTTGACTTACCGATTGTCACAGGCGACGGCAACATCCACATCAACGTGAGCGTCCCGGAGTACACCCGCGAGGTGGTTTCCCTTCTGGAGCCCTACGTGTTCGAGCAGGTGGCGGCGCTGCAGGGCTCCATCAGCGCCGAGCACGGCGTCGGCTTCCGCAAGCCGCACTACATCCACTACAGCAAGGATGAATCCGCGCTGCGCCTCATGAGGGACCTGAAAACGCTCATGGACCCTAACGGAATCCTCAACCCGTACAAAGTCTTGCCAGAAGTTGATTAACACTTCCAAATCACGCGCAATCACGTCGTAACTAATCTTCCGATGGTTAAAAAAAATGTGTGATAACTTTTAGTAAGCAACTAAATAAATAAAAAAACTTTTGTATTAATTTACAGATGTGTAAATAATTAGAAATAAATGTGTAACCACTGAAATAAAAATATCATTTGCTTTCAAAGCCTTTTTTTCGTTGGAGGAATAAGTTTTTAGAACTTAAAAAATACTATTTATTGTTTATTTACGTCATTTTTAAAACGTTTCGGTATTCAAAATGAAACAACACTTATTTAAATGACTTTTATTAAAATATCCATTTATTCTTATAACATTCGTAATATCACTGCAACAAAAATACAATGGAATATTATAAACATTTTCCTAATTGCTTCAAATAAATAAATCCGGTATTGCATAAATATATTCAAAAAATCGTATTTAGGAGCGCACAATAATTATCAACATGGATCGTGAATGTACTTAGTTTAGCATAAGTTTATGTTATTGCTATGTGAATGTCTATTAGCACTATAGAGAACACTATTATTATTATTGTTAACCAGCAATTAGGTCATTAATTAAAACCCATTTCGCACTCAAGGCCACTATCACTCTCTCACTCACTTCAATAGGCAAATGTAATCACAACAAAGTTCAACATAAATTGTAACAAATTTGGCATTTTCGCAAGTTGCTTTGAAGACATCCAGACCAGCCTGCGGGCGTCAGGGCGCGTTGCAAGTGACGAACGAAACGTTTGTGCTAGAAACCTCACACGCATTATACCAAGTCCATGGAATTGTTCAATATCATTCGAGATTTTAAAATTATATTGCATTGCATGTATTATGTATAGACGTTTGATTCAAGTACAAGTAAGTATAAATAAATTATTAAAAGTCAGCCTTCCACGCATTTTAAATTAGTAATATTTTTCAATTAGCATTTCACAATGGAATGGAAGTTTGAAAAATATCAATGTGCCGTTTGATTCAGACTTTTTTCATAACATATTATATTAATAATTGTTATCGAAGTCCAAATTCTTGTTTATATTGCCTCTTTATTATGTAATAGAAAGACAAATGACAATAAAAAATCATGAGATCACTAAACATACGCAGACGAAATGTAAACAAGAAGCAACCTGGCTCGCAAATATGGCCTTCTGGAATGGTGGGAGACGACAAAATATTTACAACAGCAGTAAACACAGTCAAGTTATATAATGCACCTTTGTCAATATGTTGACAATTATTATTAAAGAAAACATCTTCACTGTTTACTTGTTTACATTTAGTCCATAGACTTTAAATAATTTTAGTGTTTACGTATAATTAAATTATAGCATAGACAAACGAATAAACACTGGGAAATGCTCAAAGTTATTGAAAAAATAAAACTGAATCTGAAATACATTTACGAAAATTATCAAAACATTACATGTTTTATACGTAAACACATTTGAATCCTCCCGGAACAACAGACCAAAATGTTCAATAAAAATATGGAAACAATGACTTATAGGAGATTACACTAAGGGGGGCTAGATGTGGAATTTTAATAAAAGCTCTTAATCAATAATGTTCAAATGCCAAACCACTCTAAAATTAAAAACGGGTACACAAGATACTTCACCGGCAGGATGTTATCATTGACTAACATTGAAAATAGTATCTCTAATAATCTTTCATTTCATTAATATCTACATAGTCCCTTCCAGTCGCAACAAATCGGGCTCTAAGTATTAACAATCCGAGCACCTCATTCGCCATTTTATTGCTCAATTTAGAGGTAATCATTTATCGCTCAGCCCAACCCATAAGTCTCAGTCATTCTCATGCATCATCTTTCATCATAGAGTGGTCACCAATTTGGTCACTCGCCATATATCTTTTTATAGTATTTTATAGTTATTTTTGTATTTTTTTTTATAGTTTTTGTTCATTGTCCTAGAGTACAGAAGACGCAGTTTGGTCTGTCCCCCGCGAGGGCGGCGCGCGTGCGGCGGCGCAGGGCTATCGCTTGATCTGGTTGGACATCTTCAAGAACTCCAGAAAACCAGCTTGCATCTCCGCGTCCATCCCCGTGTCCCATGCTTCATTTTCCAGCTCCTCGCTGAAAGCACAAATAAAAACAGTAGAGCGGTTGTCTACACTTCAGTCAAATGAGGATTTATTATTAGGCAGTAATTCGATCTCTATACAAACTTTTCCTCAAAGGAATGTGTAAGTGTCTCTAAAAACCTATGCAAAATGGCGGCTGTTCCTTTATACATATACAAAACGTCAAATTTCTCATACGGATATTGAATTGTATACCTTTCTTATAAGATTCAAATTGAATTGAGCATTGGTTATTTTGTTGTGTAATCTATGGGAGTGTACCAGTGTCAAAGGTATAGGTCGCGCAACAAGAGTTGAGGCCATAAACATTTGATATTTGTTCTAAATTCAAATATTACATCAATGTGAGTGTGAGTCAACCAATGTGTGTTACAGTGATGACTGATGACTTATGGTTCGGAAACGTGGCCTCTCACTATAGGCCTTATACAGAAGCTCAAAGTAACACAGCGTGCTATGGAGAGGGCTATGCTCGGTGTTTCTTTACGAGATCGAATCAGAAATGAGGAGATCCTTATCATCCGTAAACGTCAAGGTTCTGGAGTGGAGGCCGCGTACCGGAAAACGCAGCGTGGGACGTCCACCCATAAGGTGGACCGACGACATCATAAAGGTAGCAGGAAGGCGCTGGACGCAGGCCGGTATCAACCGGGCAGCATGGAAAGCATTGGGGGAGGCCTATGTTCTGCAGTGGACGTCCTATGGCTGAGATGATGATTAGTGTTAGTCGTGTCAATTTTGGTTGCGCGAGCTATATGCAATGGTTTGTGAACTCACAGTATGTCGTCGTCGAGCGCGGCGCTCTTGCCGGGCGGCAGGTTGCTCTGCAGGAAGGCGCACTCCTCGGCCGTCAGCGTGTGCCCGTCCGCCAGGTAGCCGCCGTCCTCCACCTCGCCGTTGGCTGCGAACGACACATTATACAGGGTTTTCATTTCAATCCTCGCCATATTTATTTAGGTGATCTATTATGACATATAAACGCATTATCCACAAAAAAAAGACAAACGAAAGTGGAAGTTTTAACGAATATTTTCCGTGCGACATCAACTGTACTGTGGCTCGCAATACTGCAATACGCTTACACTGCGGCATCATCGAGCTATGCGGATCGCTCGCTTATTATGTCAGTTAGCCTACTGTAGGAAGCCACGTAAAGTAGGTAGTGTAAATAGGAATTTTTCTTCGACTAACTGAAATTAAAGTTCGTTTTAAATTTTTTCGCAGTTAATTTTTTTACTGATTCGTGATCAGGATTAGCTACTTAATCAACTCCCTAAATATGGCAAGGAATTAAATCAACACCCTGTATATCATGTAAACGCTAAAAATTATTCTTCAGACTAAATAAATAGTATCTACTCTAGGAACACGAGCGTCTCCAATTTACCAGAAGAGAGAGCCTCCACCTCGCCGTTGGCTGCTAACAACACATTATACACCATGTGAACACCAAAAATAATCATTATTTATACATTAGATAACTTCTCCATTCTAGGAACATGAGCGAGAGACTCATTTACCAGAGGCAAATGGAGGATTTAATGTATACCCACACTGGCCAGACGGGTTGGGGAGCAAAAAGTAAACCAATTAAATGTCATTTTACTTAGACATTGGCTAGATGTGCAAGCGCACGAAGCCATAGTGAAAAACAGAAAAAAAACAATAGTGCGTGTAAAAACTCAAACCATTTTTTCTAGAATCGAAAGCCGAATATGTTCAATTCGTTTTTTGAGCTCGTCAAGATGCAATCGACATCAATAATTACACCAATTACAATCTCGAATCTACAGTGAAGTCACGTGTTGTTTCGCGGTCGAGTATTTTTAACGGCGATCAAAACGTTTATGAGACATAGTGCTGACCGGTTCAGTGATTGATTTTATGTAAAAAACAGTGAAATAATCCTGACACTTACACACGAATGATACCCAGTGTCATCCAAAATCGATTTCGTTTGACAGCTCGTGGTTGTCGCTTTATTCCGAAGGAATATTAACTTTACGGTTCATACTGTTGTAGACTTTAATGGTGTAGTTGACCGCTGTGTGTTGCCAGTGATGGTATACGGATCTGAGACGTGGTCGCTTACTATGGGCCATATAAGAAGGCTCAAGGTCACCCAAAGGGCGATGGAGCGTGCTATGCTGGGAGTTTCCCTGGGTGATCGAATCAGAAATGTGGAGATCCACAGGAGAACCAAAGTGACTGACATAGCCCGCAGAATCGCTAAAATCAAGTGGCAGGGGGCGGGGCACATAGCTCGTAGAGTAGAAAAGTTTTCGAGTGGCGACCACGAGCCGGAAGACGTAGCGTGGACAGGCCTACTAGGTGGACCAACGATCTGGTGAAGGTAGCGGGAGGTGTCTGGATGCGGGCGGCGCAGGACCGGTCTATATTGAAATCCTTTTGCAAGCAGTGGACGTCTTTCGGCTGAAACGAAACGAACGAAGGTGCACTGACCTTGCCGGCGCGCGGCGGGCGCGGGCAACGGCTCGGGCTCGCGCTCGGCTAGCTGCGCGCGCCGCTGCAGCCGCTACACTACACCAGGGTTTCCCAATTTTTTTTTGCCAAGGAACCCTAATTGATTATACTTTTCCTAGCGAAACCCCCGTACTACTCCGCCCGCATGCCCTGCCTCTCCCTTGTGCGTAAACAAGTCGGTGCGAGCGAACAACGTCGGTCACGAAACGTGGGATAAACTTTTTACGGAACCCTTGCGGCCTTTCCACGGAACCCCAGGGTTCCGAGGACCACCATTCGGGCTCAACCTTCAGGTTCAGAATGTCCAATTCCCAAAACGTCCAACGGTTTCAAAACGTCCAATTCTCGGAATGTCCAATTCCCAAAATGTCCAATTCTCAAAATGTCCAATTCCTGAAATGTCCAGTTCCCGAAACGTCTATTGGAACCTGCTTTGTAAACACAATGTCATAAAGGTCTTTGGTTTAAAAAAAAACCAAACTGTCAAAACTGTCTTTTGTCTCTCGCTCTGTACTTTTCTCTGTGTCTAAGTAGAAATAAAACTATCTGTTAAAATCACTCTCGAATTTGTATTTCCGCCCATAATTCCAACAGGTTATGGGCCCAGGGCACTGGATCTACAAAATAAATACAATATTTTTGGCACCAGAATTGAAAATCACGGATTTTTTCGATTTTTTCAACGTAACCTCTAAAGATGGCTGGAAATACTTCTTTTGCATCAAACATCGAAAAGCTAAAAGGGGCCGAAAATTATTCGTCTTGGAAATTTATCATGAAAATGATACTCGTTCACGAAGACCTCTGGGAAACTATCGATGGTGAGGAAAAACCTGCGCAGAGTGAAGAAGACACGAAAAAGTCGCAGAAGGCATTGGCGAGAATTTGCCTATCGGTACAAGCGAGTGCATTTCCTCATGTCAGGAACGCTAAGGATGCTCGTGAGGCATGGAATAACCTCAGCAAGGCATATGAGGATAAAGGGCTATCCCGAAGATTGGGATTGTTGAGGACACTCTTTAGTACCAAACTGACAGAGTTTAGCAGCATGGAAAGCTACGTGGGCAAGCTTCAGGAATTGTCACAACAACTGAGCGACATAAATTCACCCCTGGATGATGAGTTCTTAGCTGTCATCATGCTCAGCGGATTACCAACCAACTATGATCCGCTTATAATGGCACTTGAGAATTCAAGTTTGAAGCTGACAAGTGACATGGTCAAAAGTAAACTATTACAAGAATATGACCGCAGGAACAATACTGAAGAAACGACGGCCTTTGCGACAACCAGGAAAGCACCAAAATGCTACAAATGCAAGAAGACTGGACATTTTATTAGGAATTGCCCGAGGAATAACACAAAGAAGCCAGAGAATGACAAGAAGTCTGACAAGGACAAATCTGGAAAGGATTCATCGAAGGCTCTCTTGACGGCTCTCTCGGCAAGCATTCAGTGCAATGTGTGGTATGTGGATAGTGGTGCGTCACATCATATGTGCAATAATCGCGAACTTTTCAGTGATTTTAAGGAACAAAATCCGTCGCAAGTGAGTGTTGCAAATGGTGAAAAATTAGTAACTGCCGGGCAGGGTAATGTGTGGGTAAAACTGAAAGACTGTGAGAGACTAATAAAAGACGTTTCTTATGTGCCTAATCTTTCAGCGAATTTACTCTCTGTTAGTTCTCTAGTGAAGAAGGGTTATAAAGTGGTTTTTAGTAAACAGAAATGTATAATATCAGATGATAATGATGTTTTGGCAACGGCCACTCTTAGGAATAATATCTATCAACTTGATGTCATTGATCAGCCTTTGTGTATGGGGGGAGACAATACTAACTTTGCTTCTTACAGTGCAGCTACTAAAGAATCGCAGGATGATGAGACTGTTGACACTTCTTCATCAAGTTTACCAAAAGGTAAAGTAGCAGAGGAGTCTCAAGAAATGTGGCACCGTCGACTTGGTCACTTGAACTCCAGGAGTATGATGCTGTTGAACAAAGGTATGGTCACAGGTATTAACTATAATCCAAGTGTTTTCAATCCTTGTATTGCATGCATTGAAGGTAAACAGACTCGTGTTCCTTTTTCAAAGAAGTCGTATACAAGAGCAACTCAGATATTGGGATTGGTACACACAGATGTATGTGGGCCAATGCCAACACNACCAACCCCGTCTCTTGGGGGTGCTAGATACTTCCTATTATTCATTGACGATTTTAGCAGAAAAACTTTTGTTTATTTCCTGCGAACTAAAGACGAAGTCTTTGATAACTTCAAGAACTTTAAAGCTGCTGTTGAAAAGGAAACAAACCACAAAATTAAGATTCTACGTAGTGATAACGGTGGTGAATATATTAATCATAAATTACAGGCGTACCTAAAAGAGAGCGGAATCAAACATCAAACAACGGTCCCGTATTCTCCACAACAAAATGGCGTGGCAGAAAGAGCAAATCGGACCATTGTCGAAAAGACTAGATGTATGTTGAGGTTGAGAGACGCTGGCCTGGACAACCAATTCTGGGCAGAAGCAGTGAACACCGCCGTGTGTCTCAAGAATCGAACACCAACTAAGGCTGTGATTGGACAAGTACCCGAAGAGAAATGGAGCAATGAGAAGGTAGATATTAGTCATTTACATGTTTTTGGGTGCATTGCTTATGCCGTTTCACAAAACAGAAACAAGTTGGATCCTAAATCTAAGGAGCATATTTTTGTGGGGTACTGCGAGGGTACAAAAGGTTATCGACTGTTGGATCCCACAAAATCATATAAATGTGTCAAAGCGAGAGATGTGATTTTCTTGGAAGATAAGTTTTTCCACAAGAATGATAGGTCACATGATGATATTCACTCTGAGTTCATTGAGTTTCCTCAACAATATGAACAGCCTGAACCATCTACTGTAAGACCAGAAATTTCTGATGACCATCTAGAAAATACAGACGAATTAAGAAGACAATCAGACACGTTTACAGTACATGATTCAGACAGTGAGGTTGATACAACTTTGGGAACAAATAGTTTTGCGGATCCTACTTACGTTCCAGGACGTTCCACATTGGATGAGATGACAACAGATTCATCAGATTATGAAGATGTGGCTTCGATGGCTGTGCTGTTGGTGAAGGAGCTGTGCAGCGATGATGATGAACCAGAAACTGTGCAGGAAGCTTTGGCGGGCACAGAAGCAGCTGAGTGGTTGAAAGCCATGTCAGATGAATATAAATCNTATAAATCCTTTATTAATAACAAATGCTGGACTCTCATGGAGAAACCGAAAAACCAGAAACCGATAAAGTGCAAATGGGTTTTTAAAAAGAAGAAAGGTCTTGATGGTGAACTTTTAAAGTACAAAGCACGACTGGTAGCGAAAGGTTATTCGCAGAAATTTGGAGTCGACTACGAGGAAACTTTCTCGCCAGTGGTAAGACACTCAACCATGAGAACACTACTCGCTATTGCTGCAGAATTTGACATGGACATCGACCATCTTGACGTGAAGACTGCGTTCTTGAACGGCGATCTCAATGAAAATGTATTCATGGAACAGCCAGAAGGTTTCATTCAGGAAGGTAAAGAGCATCTGGTATATAAATTGAACAAAGCAATTTATGGCCTATAACAGGCGTCTAAAATGTGGTACGAAAAAATAACTGAAGTTCTGTTGCAGAAAATGAACTTCAAAAGGATCTCTTCAGAACCATGTGTTTTTTATATGAGAACACAAAATGAGTTGGTAATAATTGCACTCTACGTCGATGACATATTTTTATTTTCCAAAAATAGAAAATTAAAGGAAAAGATTAAGTGTGATCTCATGAACACTTTTGAGATGAGAGATCTTGGCTCGGCACACCACATTCTTGGAATGAGAATTGAAAAGTGTCAGAATAAAATAACTCTAGATCAAACTGGATACATAAAAAGAGTTTTGGAGAAGTTTAACATGGCGGATTGCAAACCAGCAAAAACTCCACTAGAAAAAGGATTTAATTTACCAAAATGTGAAAATAATGATGAAAATTTGAATTACAGGAATCTAGTTGGATGCCTCATGTACATAGCAGTCTGCACCCGTCCAGACATCGCTCATGCTGTGAGTATACTCAGTCAGTTCAACGAGCGTCACACTGAACAACACTGGAAGGCGCTGAAACGTGTTCTTCGCTATCTCAAAGGTACCTTAAATTATAAATTAGTCTTTCAAAAGGGAGGTTTGGATTTGACAGCTTATGTAGATGCTGATTGGGGCGGCAACGAAATAGATCGTAAGTCCTTTACTGGTTTTATCTTTAAGCTAGGTAATTCATTGATTTCTTGGGAAAGTAGAAAGCAAAAAACTGTTGCTCTCTCCAGCACAGAGGCTGAATACATGGCACTTTCTGATGGATGTAAAGAGGCTCTTTTTATTCGTGGTTTCCTCAGTGAATTACTGAATATAGATTGTAAAGTAACAATGTATAATGATAACCAATCTGCTCAAAAATTGACTACTAGTTCTATGTATCATAGTCGAACCAAACATATCGATGTCAGGCATCATTTTATTAGAGATGTCGTTACGAAAAACGTTGTAAGTGTTAAATATTTGTCAACTGATTTAATGATTGCAGATATATTGACAAAACCTTTAACAAAACAGAAACATGATCAATTTGTAAAAGGGTTATGTTTACACAATTTATAAGTTGTTTAATTTTTCTTTTTGCTTGTGTAAACATTTTTGAAAACCTATATCTCAAAACATTATAATTGTTTTAGTGGTTATGTAAAAATAAATATGTAAAGCTGTTGTACTGAATATAAAGTCTGTTGTGAATCATTGTATTATGGTTCTTATGACCTTGGTTTAAGGGGTAGTATTGGAACCTGCTTTGTAAACACAATGTCATAAAGGTCTTTGGTTTAAAAAAAAACCAAACTGTCAAAACTGTCTTTTGTCTCTCGCTCTGTACTTTTCTCTGTGTCTAAGTAGAAATAAAACTATCTGTTAAAATCACTCTCGAATTTGTATTTCCGCCCATAATTCCAACAACGTCCAATTCCCAAAATGTCCAATCTACTATTATGATGGGTTTCTTAAATAATTCCTCATTCATAGGCTTTCTTAAAAATATTTAATAAATAACCATACTTAAATTTAAATAATCATTTATTTATTTACAAATTATTCTTTCCTTTTTAGGTCAATAGAAAAAAATATAAATAACTATACATACTTGTATGAGTATAAAGTGCAGTAGCTTCAAATTTTTTCTACGTACTTTTTGCAAATAATACAATTTATTTTTCTATGTTTATATGCCGATTTTGCAAAAACTAAACGCATTCGTACAGAAATATATTAATTACTAATTTTTAAGAAAGGCTATGAGGACTTATTTAATAAACCCATCATAATAATAGATTGGACATTTTGAGAATTGGACGTTTCGGGAACTGGACATTTCAGGAATTGGACATTTCGGGAATTGGACATTTCGGGAAATGGACATTTTGGGAATTGGACATTCTGAACCTGAAGGTTCGGGAACCGCTGTACTACACAACACCAGGGTGCACTGACCTTGCCGGCGCGGGCGCGGGCAGCGGCTCGGGCTCGCGCTCGGCCAGCCCCCAGCGCGCGCCGCTACACTACACTACACCAGGGTGCACTGACCTTGCCGGCGCGCGGCGGGCGCGGGCGCGGGCGCGTCAACCCAAAAAAAAGATAAAAATGTTTAAAGCCTACTAGGTCATACAATTTTAAAATATCACAAAATTAACTCTATCTCCTAAACTAAGCACAATCGTATAATATACATGGGGGTGATTTATGTACACCTTGATGTAAGGAATCTAAATTTTTCTTTTAGACCTCACTGTTTTGGCCACCCTGTATTATTATTAATCATAAATTACAGGCGTACCTGAAAGAGAGCGGAATCAAACATCAAACAACGGTCCCGTATTCTCCACAACAAAATGGCGTGGCAGAAAGAGCAAATCGGACCATTGTCGAGAAGACTAGATGTATGTTGAGAGACGCTGGCCTGGACAACCAATTCTGGGCAGAAGCAGTGAACACCGCCGTGTATCTCGAACACCGACTAAGGCTGTGATTGGACAAGTACCCGAAGAGAAATGGAGCAATGAGAAGGTAGATATTAGTCATTTACATGTTTTTGGNATGTGTTTTTTATATGAGAACACAATGAGTTGGTAATAATTGCACTCTACGTCGATGACATATTTTTATTTTCTAAAAATAGAAAATTAAAGGAAAAGATTAAGTGTGATCTCATGAACACTTTTGAGATGAGAGATCTTGGCTCGGCACACCACATTCTTGGAATGAGAATTGAAAAGTGTCAGAATAAAATAACTCTAGATCAAAATGGATACATAAAAAGAGTTTTGGAGAAGTTTAACATGACCAGCAAAAACTCCACTAGAAAAAGGATTTAATTTACCAAAATGTGAAAATAATGATGAAAATTTGAATTACAGGAATCTAGTTGGATGCCTCATGTACATAGCAGTCTGCACCCGTCCAGATATCGCTCATGCTGTGAGTATACATACACGTTGAACTGACTGAGGTCAGTTCAACGAGCGTCACACTGAACAACACTGGAAGGCGCTGAAACGTGTTCTTCGCTATCTCAAAGGTACCTTAAATTATAAATTAGTCTTTCAAAAGGGAGGTTTGGATTTGACTGCTTATGTAGATGCTGATTGGGGCGGCAACGAAATAGATCGTAAGTCCTTTACTGGTTTTATCTTTAAGCTAGGTAATTCATTGATTTCTTGGGAAAGTAGAAAGCAAAAAATTGTTGCTCTCTCCAGCACAGAGGCTGAATACATGGCACTTTCAGATGGATGTAAAGAGGCTCTTTTTGTTCGTGGTTTCCTCAGTGAATTACTGAATATAGATTGTAAAGTAACAATGTATAATGATAACCAATCTGCTCAAAAGTTAACTACTAGTTCTATGTATCATAGTCGAACCAAACATATCGATGTCAGGCATCATTTTATTAGAGATGCCGTTACGAAAAACATTGTAAGTGTTAAAATATTTGTCAACTGATTTAATGATTGCAGATATATTGACAAAACCTTTAACAAAACAGAAACATGATCAATTTGTAAAAGGGTTATGTTTACACAATTTATAAGTTGTTTAATTTTTCTTTTTGCTTGTGTAAACAATTTTGAAAACCTATATCTCAAAACATTATAATTGTTTTAGTGGTTATGTAAAAATAAATATGTAAAGCTGTTGTACTGAATATAAAGTCCGTTGTGAATCATTGTATTATGGTTCTTATGACCTTGGTTTAAGGGGTAGTATTGGAACCTGCTTTGTAAACACAACGTCATAAAGGTCTTTGGTTTAAAAAAAAAACAAACTGTCAAAACTGTCTTTTGTCTCTCGCTCTGTACTTTTCTCTGTGTCTAAGTAGAAATAAAACTATCTGTTAAAATCACTCTCGAATTTGTATTTCCGCCCATAATTCCAACAGACGCAAGTTCTAGTCTGAATGTTTCACCCAAAAAACCCGAATTCAGAAGTTTGTCATTTCCTTTTATCTTATTTACCTTCTTGAACATAACCCATGAATTTATGACAGCCAGGAAATGATGAAACAAACGCATGGTCCACTTGCGGCTCTTCATTGTAATGTGATAACGACCTATAAATGAATCTAACAAGTCCACCCCTCCCATGTGTGCATTGTACTTAGGGTTGCCACCTTTTTTTGCAGTTAAAGTACATTGGTTAAGTAAGTACCAGAGACGACGGCCGTCATTTTTTCATTCACCATACAACTGTTTGCCGATTACTGAAATATGAATGTGGACATCCGTTACCACTTTCAGACAGTTCAGGACCTTCTCGAAGTTGACCATACCGTCCGAATTAACTTTAGTCAGTTATCAATCAATCAATCAAAAGTATTTATTCAGTTTAGACCACAAGTGGCACTTATGAACGTCAAAATATAGTAAATAATAAAAAAAAAAGAAAAGGTAGCCCTTATGGGGCACTTTACATGTCTCCTTATCTTTTGGGCCCTACCAGCGCTTCGAGACAAACATAATATGGCAAGTGCTTAGGTTGCTGGAACACGAAGACGCTAACATTTTATTGATCAGATGAAAGTTTATTCACACGAGTTCAATGAGCACTGGTGGACCCACCAAGACCACAACCCACATGTTATCAATTATCAAGCGAGATTCTTTTCAACATCGCTTTAGCCTTAACGTGTGGGCTGGTATACTAGGTGACCAGCTATTGGGTCCCTATTACGTCGAGGGCCGTCTCAACAGTGCTACATATGAGATGAGACTTTACTACAACATGTATCATCTAGTCGATGAAATGTTAGAAGACATACCACTGCCTCATCACTGAAACTTGTTTTATCAACATGACGGAGCACCACCACATTACGGACTCCAAGTGCGTGGTTACCTAAATCGAATGTTTGGAAGCCAGGGCACAGGCCCACCACGCTCCCCAGACGTAACCCCACTAGATTTTTATTTGTAGGGTAACGTAAAACGCTTAATGCAAAAGAAATGCTAACATTACTCGAAAGCAATTTTGAACGAAGAAGCGTATACAATAGATTCTACCTGAAGAGAAANAGATGGATGTAAAGAGGCTCTTTTTGTTCGTGGTTTCCTCAGTGAATTACTGAATATAGATTGTAAAGTAACAATGTATAATGATAACCAATCTGCTCAAAAATTGACTACTAGTTCTATGTATCATAGTCGAACCAAACATATCGATGTCAGGCATCATTTTATTAGAGATGTCGTTACGAAAAACATTGTAAGTGTTAAATATTTGTCAACTGATTTAATGATTGCAGATATATTGACAAAACCTTTAACAAAACAGAAACATGATCAATTTGTAAAAGGGTTATGTTTACACAATTTATAAGTTGTTTAATTTTTCTTTTTTGCTTGTGTAAACAATTTTGAAAACCTATATCTCAAAACATTATAATTGTTTTAGTGGTTATGTAAAAATAAATATGTAAAGCTGTTGTACTGAATATAAAGTCTGTTGTGAATCATTGTATTATGGTTCTTATGACCTTGGTTTAAGGGGTAGTATTGGAACCTGCTTTGTAAACACAATGTCATAAAGGTCTTTGGTTTAAAAAAAAACCAAACTGTCAAAACTGTCTTTTGTCTCTCGCTCTGTACTTTTCTCTGTGTCTAAATAGAAATAAAACTATCTGTTAAAATCACTCTCGAATTTGTATTTTCGCCCATAATTCCAACACCAATGACATATCACACATAGTAATTAGATATTGAAATTTATTAAAAATTCAAAGTTTATGGAAGAAAATGGAGTAATTTACGAAAATTATCCATACAAAGTTTCTTCAAACAACTCATATTTTCTGCTATACTCCTTTTCATAACTATTTTCGTGTTTTTTTTTAAAATGAATTTAAAAATAATAATCACATTATAAAGAAAAAAAAAATAATTCAAAATCAACTTTGTATGGATAATTTTTGTATTATTACTCCATTTTCTTCCAAAATCTTCGAATTTTTGATAAATTTCAATATCCAATTACAACGTGTGATATATCATTGGAAAGAAGAGAAGCTGGAGATATTTTTAAGGTTATTGGCAATCCATTATCACCATTAATTTTTGTTTCAATCGAATTTGAAGTAGAATTTTTCATCGTGGTTTCTACTTTTGTTGAACTTTGGCGGCTCGTAACTAGCTATTCAATCATTATCTGGATCAGAAATTTATTTTATTTGAATATGAAATCACGCGAAAAAAAAATTGAAGCAGTTTTTAGGTCAAACTTCGTAAAAATCTGAAAAAAGTATAAAAATTGACATATCTCCTAAACTATAAAACTTTGGCCATAGAAAGTAAGGTTCAATAATTAGCAAATGGCCTCCTCTATACGCCTATTAGCTATGGCGGGTTCAGTTCCAGTCACCCTGTATAAAACGGCATAATGAATTAAAAAGTTATGCAATTTCGGTTGTTGTTTACCGTAACACAATTTGAACACTTTACAAAGTGACATCTGCAGGTTATAAAGTTACAGATTGGTGTTCTTTATCTGTGACCCACTTTGTAAATATAAGCTGAAGTTACTACCGTAAGTTTAAACGAAATAAAAGCACAAATAATCCGATGGAAACTTTATAAGGCCTCTCCGACTGTAAATTTCAATTTCAGGAATTCAATTCATTCTGAATTGAATAGTAAGTCAGTGAGCTGAAGTTATTGAAACGTGTAAAACGTGTTACTGAAAAATTTTTGGTAATTATTTTCACAGTGAAAATTAAGTTATGCAACTTCTGGTATAATAGGGTTTTTTTAATAATCTGTTTTATAGTGATAGTGTAGTATACCTTCACTTGCTATGTTTAAAAAACCCCGTAAATATATTAGCACCTTTTGTGGTGACCTGACTAGCTATTGACGCCTCCTTTGTGATTACAGAACCTGAAAATGCAGTCAAACGGAAATCGGCCCGCTCA